AGGGAGGAAGGTTTCCAATCTCCCCTAATCGGATTGCAAGGATGTCCTGCAACAAAGCCAAGACGCAAAGGAAATCGATGCCAGGCAACATGTTTCGTGCACTTGCAGCATATAATTATTAAAGAACCAATAATTAGTCCACGCACGCTACACGTTAAACCTATGGATTATTATTATGGCTTACGTATGGCGATTTTAATCAAGCGGCGGTCAAAAACATTCCGTATAAATTTGGGTTGGTATTTTTGAGTTGTACGTTTAGTATATCAACTAAAATTCCTGGATTTCAAAAAGGGAGTCGCCAAATTATTCATTAATTGAAAGTACTACTTTTGTAAGATTGTTACAATATTTTATAAATAATCAACTACCTTTTCTGTAACAATGATTAAATAATATTAAGAAAAAAAAATATGATTTTCATCTTTTTAAATAATAAAAATATGAAAAAAAAATTATTATTGGTAGACACAGACTTTCAACATGTTTCAGTAAAACAGTGGAGAGAAAACAAGAAAATAATATAATTTTCTTGATTTACAGTACACACTCTTCCTTTACTTTAAATTTACGTTCAATGCAGCATATTATATATTTTTTAATCTACACAGAAGTTTTTTGGGTTAAAATTTACTTGCAAATTGTTGATTTAACTTCTGAATTTTACCATTTTGCAACGGCCAATTTATCCCATTTTTTTAGGTGTTTGATGTTTTTCTCCTTCAGCACGTCTCCTCCATTCAACTGTCATCGCTTTTGTTTAGGCGAACGCCTCACTCCGTAGATGAGAAATACGTGTTTGTGACGCTGAGGCGGGCCATATCGGCCCGATAATGGCTTGCCACGGCTGAATGATTGATGATGCTGGATTGAAAAATCCTCGGAGCCCCAAAACTCAAATACGATAGAGACTAGCAACAGCCTTTGTGTGCTATTAGGGCCTATCTGCGGCACTCAATATCGACACAGAAGCCACCTCAGATTTCGCGATACACATCTTGGTGCAGGTGAAACGTATGTAGCTCTACACGCCCTTCGAGTTTAAACCCTTAATTTATCGAGAGACTTGAGAAGCTTCAAGCCAAAGCAAAGAAATTTTCTCTGTCGTGAGTGAAAAGCTGCTAGGACATTTTAATTCTTGGTGTACTAGATTTTTAATATAACGTACATTGGGGGTGAGTGGGACTCAACTGACTGAGATACGTCGTCAGGATTTGCAAAATTTTTAATTGTGTCTGTTTGAGGAACTATAACTCTTTTGCAGTTTTTGAATTTCAATCATTTTGTATTCTAGAAGCACATAATTATCTTTTTTTTTACTAATATCAGAATCAAACATGTGAAAAATTAAATTGTCAGGGGCTGCGTGTAAAGAAAATGAAATTTTCCGTGCAACTGTTTACTATTTAAGTATAATTTTGGAAATTTCTGCCCCCACGAATGGGGATAATTGACGTCTGGTTCCAATAATAATCAAATTTGATTTAATATTGTGCTTCCTAAGATTGAAAATATTAACTACGGTCACAGGCAACAAATCAAAATATGTAGTAGTTCAAACAGACGCAATTTAAAATTGTTTAAAATGCGAGAAAATCTACGTCTAGCGTAAATCCTGACGACGTTTCTCAGTTAAAAATCTTTTTAATTCAAGAGGGAGCAAGACAATTTAATCTTTAAAAGTCTTGTGGTCACTCTGGTCGTCATATTTGTGAACTTTGAGAGCAGCGAGTTATGAAGTGGCTCTCAAAGTCTCCCAGGGCAGATTGGCTTTGACTCTATGAAATGAAAAGTCGGTACTTCACTCTCAAGAGGAGACGCGTTCATTGTCAAAAGTTTAAATTATCTCTTCAGAGACAGATTGAAAGTGATTAAAAGGTATAAAAAAAGAGTCCGCAAGTAAAAACCATGAATTTAAAATAAAACAAAATTATTTCATTCAAATCAAGATAGTTTGAGTTATATCACTCTTCAATTTATATATTTCAATTTCTTAAAAATATTGAAAATTAGTTGGATATTACGTGCTGGACTTTACTTGACAAGGAAAACAAAAAGAAATTTTTTAGGAAAAAAAATGTTAATTAAAGTATTTGGGTTACAGAAATTGTCCGAATTCTATTTGTTCAATGTGAGAACTTTCCCATCACCAATATATTGATCCCTTTTATCAGTAAAACTTTGTGTGCGTAAACTTTTCCAATGCTGAAAAGTAAGTTGATTTGTTCGCACTAAATGAGTTCATTACTTTGCAGCGGCAATCAAACGCCGTTTACACAGGCTTAGAGTTCATTCTAGATTCTAGGAAATTGGAAACTGTGTAGAACAGGAAATTGCCAAGTTACACAACCGAACAAACTTCCCATTTAAATATCTTAAGAGGGATTCCTGGACTATCCGTCGGCATTAATTAACGGACAATGGCTTCGTGAATTATTCAACACACTCAACGACAGAGATGATCTGGCGCTTCCTGGGGAAGCATGCGAATTAGCCCAGCCAAGTTTCCACGAACGAATAATCTAATTTCTGCGTTGCATTGATTATTAGCCACATTTTTGGTGGCGAGTTTGAGAACAATGGACAAAGTTGCTTTTCATTGCGTCCATTTATCAAACAATTCCGAATCGCCGCACGGACGCCGGCCAATCGACAAGCGGGCTTTGAACAGAACAATTGAAAGCTTGATTGAGGACACACGTAGGTGCAAAAAGAAAAATTAATTTTCGCCTATGGATGGAACCGGTGGCACTGATTTGGCCCGTTTGTATACAGCGAGGGAAGAGAGTGATTGAAATGGGTGAGTAAGCCAACCAAAACACGAATTTTTCGAACATCACTTTAGTTCAGTATTTTCGACGAGGACGAGACACATATTTTTTTGGTTGTTTAGTTTTACACAGACTATATTTTGGATTTTTTTTACCTTTTCGCCAGCAGAAATCTTGACAATATCCGATATCTTTTATTATCAGTCCCACCGTAAGTTTTAAATAGAAATAAAAATATGATTTCAGTTACAGGATTAAATCGAAATCATTCATAATCATTTAAATTTTTTTTTATTATTAATTATAAAATTATGATAGCAGAAAAATCCGCTCAATTCTTCAGTTTAATTAATTTTTCATATATATTTTTGTTCAATTAGTTAATAAGATTTCAGTAAAACTATATAAACTTTCTTTTGCTAAAATTAGAACAGTTCTGTCTAAATATGTTAACAACTCTTATTTATCCTCAATAGCGTACTCGACAAAAAAATCCTTGATTATAGTTTTCTCAAAATGCCAAAGTTCACGTAACGATGTCTGTTTTTTTCTCTTTTCTTTGAGAGAAGCTGCCAAACAGCATGTATGTATTTGGATTTGTATTTACCGTGAGAAAGGAGGGAAAGCTATGAGGTGTTTATGCAAATCTCTGTGACGCAAATAACAATCTTGATGGTAATTTTATTCATTCAGCGGCCCGAAAGTGCACTCGAGCAAGCAGGATGAAAGAGGGAGGACGCCGCCGCCACCGATTACGACAGCTTGTCACAATGGGGAAAATAATTACCACGTTGCGTCGCGTGGCAACCCGCTCGACAGCCTTGTTGCGCCGGTTGCATATTAATTAAAACGCAGGCGGCGTTGTTTTTCCCATGAAAGAGAGTTGCAAATAAAAAGAAATGTGACAGACGGATTGTTGAATGTCGTGCCTTTTTGCATTTCTCGTGTGTCGTTCCGACCCACGCCGGTTCATCTCTAATTTAATTTTCTTCTCTCCGCATTCGTTTCTGAATATAAAGAAACACGTCACAAAAGGCCGTGTTTGTATACATATTTATGAGAAACAGTAACTCATTTATTCAGATTCTATTCTGCATTAACTCAATACTGCTGAGCTATTTGCAATTCTAAAACTATTTTTGTAAGTAAAAAATATTACTTGTATCATCGCTTGTCTGTAAGGAAAAAATGCCCTTTCCAGGCGTGGATTTATCTCTCGATCAATCTCATTTCCAGTTCATTACAAACGAAATCCCCCGTCGCCTCCTTCCTTTAATATGGACTGAGACAGGTCCTAAATTCGTCGTGAAACTTTTCTCGGGGATCTGCAAGTGATTGGAATTCTGCGATTGGCATTTTCGGGATTAAGCCCAATCATTCTTGTTACTTTGATGCGCCTTGAAAGTGGCACGTTTTTCGTTTTGTGCTCGTTCAGGCATTGCTTGCTTCAAGTATTCCCGGATGGATTCGTTCAGCTCGCGTTTGTTCGCTTTCCCATTTAATTAAAATCGCACAACGGTTCAATTGGACACGGCGTCAAAGGCAAAGAATTTAATTTTGCCAACTATACAGGCAAGGGATTTAAATTTGATCCAAACAATTGAAAATGTAAAGCATCCTTCAAAGCCAGTATGTAATAATTAATAAATGCAAAAGTAATTAATAACCGACACTAAAACTACATTTTTTTTTAAACGGCATTTCAATGCAACTCGGTTTAAACAAAACGCACTAATAAAATGTCATACTGTAAACATTATCGATAATTACTTTTATAATTTTTTCAATTTCTGCACACAATATTTATAGCTGATTTATAGGAATGGTAACAAAACAACCATTAAATTAGGTGAATTTCAAAAAATAAAATCAACTTGGAGAGATAACATTTTCGTTTTGTTTATTGATTTCTAAAATTAAGAGAATTGGATCAAATGTTTAAAAATTAAATGTTTGTGATAACAATGCTTTAAAAGTTGAGCGCAACGTAAATATGGCCCAAGGAAGATAACTCGTGTGCTATTGAACGCACTAAACGTAGCGTTTGGTTTAAGTTGCTCTAATTACTAAGGCACGCCCCTACCATTAATTAAACCGTCTCGAATTTCAAACCCTTGCCAAAAAGTATCGCTTTCGCGCCTGCTGTCGACCAAGCCAAAGCAAATAAGCAGTGATGGATCTGCATTTCGGAAACGAAAGGGACAAAAACAAACATTCATTAGTACTCACGTCCACGTAGTTAGGCTTGGCGCCATAGAAGTAGTGCTTCTGGCCGAGGTCTCTCAGCAGCGCCTCCAGCTTTTCGGGCTCATGGATCCTGGCGATCGCCTTTTGCACAAACGCCATCACCCTGCAGAGCAAATTTTAAATATAATGACTCAGGCTACATTATAGCCTGTTTGTCAAATTAATTTCTTTAGGATGGAAGATTTTTTACCAATACTTAAAATACAAAATAAGTTCTTTCCCTTTTTTTATTGACAATTTTTTAATTCTTTTCATCAATCACTAACCTTTTATAAAATATTAAAAAAAAAATTAAAAATTATTCCATAATATGATTTTTTAGGTGCTAAAAAAATTGATTTTTTTTATATTTTCTAATTTAAAAAATATTGAAAACTTTTACTTAATAGTTTTTACATTTTTACTATTTACATTAATGCACATTAATGTTTATTTGTTTAATTAATCCGTAAAAATTTACTTTCCGACGGAAAATGTGTAAAATAATGGGTCACTTAGTTTGCTTATTTAAAATTGTATTAGCCTATTGTAAATATGGTTGATTTTATTCTGTATCAAAAATGTGCATCACATCTCTTGATTTCAGCTGAAAATTATATTTTTCGAGAGTCCTATGCGACGTAGAAAACAGGTCGAATGATGTGAGCCTAAATGACCTCGCATCACTCATTGTCACTGAGCTCGAATTAATCAAATTAATATTTGACGACCAACTGACTCCTCTTCTGTTGGCCCATTCGGCAATAATTATTGCTCTCTCTGCTTTGACGTTTTATTATCTCGCTGAGACTATCTAAATGAAAATCGATCGCACGTGGCTCGAGTTTCACTTAACTGCTTCCGCCGCCGGCTCCTTTGATGGGCAAATGAGCTGTGGATTTCTCATTTTTCTCGGCGCGCGCGAATTAGCCGGAAATGAGAGCGTTTCTCGCATCCCTAGCTCTTGTGTGTGCCCGCAGCTTTTAATGATCCCGCCCGCAAGAGACAGAGAGCAGGCAGTGCGTCACGAGCAAAAATAATGAGAGTGGAACATCAATTTTCTCTGCATAATGACACTAGACTTCAATAACGTGGGCCGTCAGTACTCAGAATATGCATATTTTTCAAAAAGTCCCGGTTATCTTTTAAAAAAGCATTTAATAATTACCCTAGTTCACTTCAGATTACATACAAAATAAATAAATAAATAATGCATAATCACTTTGCTATCAATTATATTATCAATAATTGGGGGATATCCACATGCTAAATTAACGCCAGCAAATCCCACAAGAAAGTTAGCATGTGAATAGCCCCCATTATTATTAGTTTTTCTTCTTAGTAAATGTCTGCATAATATTTTAAAATATCAATCCTCTTTTTCCAACTGAAGCTATGCTTTTCTCACTTTAATATATTTTATTTTATTTTATGCACTTAATGAATTTTATACATTTTTGAAAAACTTGATCGAAATTGAAACTGTTGAAGACTGTTTTTTATCATCATTATTGGAATGAATCGAAGCGAAGAGACTTTTTTTGTTATATTTCTCTTTTTACTACAGGTCACGTTCATTATTTTTCCACTATATTGTTCATGAATGTGTCTCTTTGGAAAAGGCGTGACACACATTTTCCTATCTGCGGCAGAGACATCCTAACTCATTCGATAAGTAAAAGGGAATTTTTTTTGTGCCTAGTTAGTTATCTGCAGCGACAAAACACATTCCACTGCGTTATTCAGCGGTGCGAGGGAGGCTGTTTGTTTTGTTCGCGCAAGGCTCGTTTCAACGCCAGGAGCCAGAAACAAAACGTGTTAACGCTACTTGTCATCCTGTCACAATCTTGACGCAAAACAACTAATGGCTGGAAGAGCCTTCTGGGCTACTTTTTTCCCCAGCCCTTATTGTGTTTTGCCTCGTTGAACAGACGGTAAATGAAAAGTGGTCTAGAAAAGAAATTGCGCGTCGTTCCTAGTCACTCAAAATGAAGTAAACTAAAAAATCTTTCATGTCCGCAAGAAGTTTTCAATTCACTCAATATAAAGTCCTTCATCCCTCTGGATATGTTGACGTAGAAATATAAAAATATAACATATAGGTTAGAAAAATTGGTGTGTTTTTGGCAAAAAATAATGTTAGGTTTTTCCTTCAACTGGAATGGTGGTGAAGTAAAAATGAGAAAAATACGAGATCATTTAATAAGTAAAAAAAATCAAGTGTTATTAATGCTGCATTCAGCTGTAATTTGGTGTTAATTTATTTAATAAAAGCTATTTCTTTAATAACCGTCCGGTTATTTGAATTTAAATCTTTATTACATATAGTGGGTTGTTAGTTTAAGGTGAAAACCAATGGGGAGAGGGGGGCGCAACAATAGAATTTCGTTTGCATCGGTGCATTATTTTTAGCAAATCAGGAGTTCTACTGACCAATGGCTCTAGCGGCCGGTGCGTTCTTCTTTGTAGGAGAGTGTGCTGTGTTTTGGCACTTTGTTTGCTAGTTCTTGTCTCTGTGATCCCAATTAAGGAATTCTTCTCTTTTTTTTGCAGTAATTGTGTTGAAAATCATTTTCATTTTATTCAAATGCAATATATTGAAATTTATTTAAGAAAAAATTATTATCTCCATAACTTCAACAAATTAATTTGTTTATTTTTCTTGTGTAAATATGCACAGCCAAGATATGCATTCACCCCCATAACAAACATTCTTCTCGTGTGTTTTTTACATTTTGTTTTTAGTTTAATTTTGATGCATGTTTCAATGTAAGGTTTTGTGTATTTCATTGTATTGAATGGAGAGTAAATTTAATAAATAAAAGGAGTGGCACCGTTTCTGATTGGCACGCAAACAAGGATGTTTGATCTGCATCAGTGCATAATTTGTGAAAAATGCCGGTTTTTACTCAAAAATTTAAGTTCAGAAGTATGTGAAATCTAGGCGTTTTTGTTTTTTAGTGATTAATAATTTCTGAGCTATTCTTTCATCATCTACGACATTATTTTAACTGTTACTAAATTATTTATATTAAAACAAACGCTCGGAGCAAACAAAAATATTACGTTGAGCTGGTTGATACTTTTATCCATGAGCAAAGCCATGCAATTTTCAAGTCGGCGTAAAGCGATTTATCGCGTGCGTGCAAGCTGCTTGCTCTGTGTCATAAAATGTCACACAACGGTCGTTTTGTTCTGTTCCACGCGATTGGGGGAAAAATAGTGACAAACAAACACCCTGGCAAATTCAATGAAATCTGCCGGCGTGCAGGGTAGTGATGTATCAAAAGGCGCAGAGGCAGAGGCCATCAGCCCGAGAGCTTTCACGCTTTTAAGCAACCACATATCATCTCTCCAGAGAAATTGCACAGAAGCCGCGAATCAGGTCAGGCCGCACACATGCAAACAAGCTTTTCCAGCAATTTTCCCGCCTCCCCAAGTCTCCAGAGGCAGCCTTCTGCTTTACTTATGTATAACGTCCTGATGGATTAAAGGGCGCCTCTCCTGTTAGCTTTTATTTTTTAATTGAAATGAACACAAACTTTCGTGGCTGAAATCAATTTGCGATACAAGAATTTGCACACCTAAAAGGATTTTACAGGGGCCCATTGAAGGTTTATATTTTTTTTCTTATGGTATCTTAATTTTTTAAAGAAGTAACTTGCCTTGTTGGTCGAATTTAGTTGTATTTTTTTACGTTTCAATGCTTTTTGTACTTGTGGAACTCCTTGCTAAATCCTTAGATGTGCACATTTTGCAATCACAATTTCGATTTCTCTTAAATTATTGATGAATGAATAAATATTTTAAAATCATCACCACACATCTCAAGGTCAGACTGTGAAGAACAATCTCAGATTTTTTTCTTATAATGCCTTGTAGGGTTTGGAAAAATCGTACACGTATTATTTGAATGTCACTTTGGGAATAATACTGTACTTCAAAAGTCAGCAAAAAGATCAAAGACATTGTTTGACCTATACTATAACTGTCCTCTTGTGTGCCACTCGGCATGGCTGCCCCTATTGAGCCGACGAATGAGAGGCAACCTGGACTCAATTTGCATCGAGTAATTAAAAGTAAGCACAGAAGCGCGCGTCGCTCGAATTGGAATTGCCACTGCCGTTTCTCATTAAGACCCTTTGCCATGGAGTTGCTTGAAATTGGCCTTGGAAATCAGAATTTGCAATTCAATGCGAGCAGAGAACGTGAAGTGTATTGCTTAAAAAGCTGTTAATTGTTTAAAGGCAATTAATTGAGTCGAATGTTTTAATGTTACTTATAAAAAAAAATCAAACTGTTCAAGAGTTCTCAAAGATTTAGATTATTGAAAAATTACAAATTTTTAAAATAAGTGCAGATTATTAATCTCTGAAGACTATGTTATAATTTATTTTGTCGTGGGCTGTCAGTATGCACAAGTGCAATGGTCAGAAATTATTATACTTGCAAAAGGAGAAATGCACTTAGTTTTTTAAATTTACTGTCAACAATTGATTGATGTTTCCCCCGCCATAAATTTCATTCAACGGAACAGGAAAAGCTGTTTTATTAATTCAATGATGGACGTATTTTGAATTACAACTGGTCCCCATTTTTTATTAGTGTGGAAAGTGACCAGTTTGGTAGCAACTTTTCATTAAGTATTAATACAGCATGAAAAGTAATTAAATAACTATTTAATTAATTTTACAAGCTTTTTATGTTGCAAAACAATGGCAATTAAGTAAAAGTAAAATAATTTTATTGCACCAAAAATTGCCAAAAACATACGGATTTATTGAAAACTCAGTTGACGGCATAAAAATTATTTAATAAAACTTGGACAAAAAAGTGTATATTGCTAATCAATTTTGTTTCATTTTTACTTTTTAATCAATTAGTTTTTTCTGCCTTTAAGGACGCATAGGTATGCCAGTTGTTGAAGAAATCCAGGACAAATAAAATCCGGTCCTGACAAAACCTTGCGGCTTTCCTTGAATGCAACTCGAATAAACAAAAGCCACGGTTCCGATTTGCGTGAAAATTCCATCCGCCTCTTGATAAACCATTGCGCCGCCACTGTCCCCCTAGCAACAATTATTAGCGCAACAAGCTCTAGTTTGCTACATTTGAAAATCTCAAAATCTCATTACGTGGCAAATGCTTCGAGGCCCGGTGCCACTCATGCATATTATTTCTGTCCTGATAAGCGATCCAAACGTTTGTTTGCACACTGTGCTGCTAACAACGGTATTGTTGGTCCACATCAATTTGTTACTCGGAGCAGGATCTTCGAATGAAAACAATCAACTTAGCTGATTATAATTTAAATCGTTTCAAATACCATCAGAAGTTTTTCCAAATCCGCTTACATAAACTTTAGTTCCAACAAAAGCTGAGGTTGATAAAGATTTTTTGACCAACCGAATCGGTTTAATGTAAGGATATTCTGAATTTTTAATTCGGAAATATATTTCAATTAAATTTTAAATGCATTATACTGGTAATATCCAGCGGTGCATCAAATTTGAGCAATGCTAGATCTGCCCAATCCTGAGTTCCTGTGTATTTGGGATTTACGACTTTTGTCTTCACTGTTAGCATCACCGAGCCTGGTTGTGTATTCAACCGGTCCGTACGTCCCAAGTAGACAGAAAATTGAGGATGCCTTTCATTTTATTCAGATTCATTTTTTTTAGAATAATGTGAAAATTTCTACCAATAAACGCAGTGGCCTGCGGTCATGATCCATTGGTTGCTTATCAATGACGCTCCACAGAGATTTGTAGCATCTGGAACGATCAGAGCGTGCCAAGGAACATCTCCTTGATTAGCTTGAGCGCCACCAACAATTTGCTTGTTTATTGAAACAGTTGTTGATGATATATCTGCCAAAATACTAGCTCATGAAGAAGACATTTATGTATTAAAATATTTTGTAAATTCACTAGTATCAATTTTCATCCAAACGGGTCCACCCTTTATTGGCCCACCAAAAGCCAGTTGGCTCTATAATTTGTATTTTATTGAATCAAGATATCAATTTAAAATAAATTTGATCTAGTACCTCGTCGCACAGAAGCAACAGATATAAAGCAAGAAACATTTTGCGTTCCCACTTGCAAATGGGAAGTGTGTGCCGGTTCTCACAACTCCGCTCTTTCTGATGGGTGGTTTCAAATATTATTGCGCATTTAGCCTTGAAAATTCCTACATCCTGTGTCATTATTAAAAGCCAAGCGTCATTTTTCGAAACGTTTCTTCTGCAAAACTCATCCAGTTGTGTTGCAAAAGCGCACGTAGTCCATCATATTTTAATATTTCACTCCGTTTTGACACGTTTATGATTTTCTGGCTCTTCCGCTCCTGCGAAATCAACGCCTATATGAAACTAGGTTAAAACGTCGTTATTATGTAACTTCATTATTATTATTATTTTTTTTTGTTAATCATTATTTTATTATTGAAAATTATTATTCCTGCTTGAAAATTTTCAATAAAATTTTGTTTCTTTAATTCTATTAGTGACCCATATTGGAAAAAATAGTTTGGAAAATAAGCATTATTTGTTTAATTTAGTAATTTAGTTTACTGCTAATTATGAAATCTATTTGATTTTTTGTGCTCAAATGCCCATAGTATTATTCATATAATTAATTTTTTATGATATCTTTATTTTGTTCTTAGAAAATAATGAAAATAGGGTTATTTAATAATTCATGTTCATTAAAATATGCCATATTGTTGTCTGTTTATTTTTTTCTCATTCAGTATGAAAAATTGATGGATTTCAGCCACTGTTCTTCCTTTTTCAATGCAATAGTTGACAAATTCAACCAGTTTAATTCATATTCAAATAGTATTTTATAATAGACATGTATAATTTTTAGGGCTTTTTGGATCATCAAATAAATGGAGCTAAAAAATCACGACTCTCAAAAGGTTGGGGAAGCTTGCCGAAAACTGGCATGTGTCACGTAGAACCCTGTGATTAGAAGCTCTGACACAATTGGTTTAATCTCGAGAGCGATGCAGTTCTTTTTCTGCTCTCCAGATGAGCGGACTAATCTGTTGCCGAGCCGTAACCTCTACTATTATTGTGCTGTAGTGACCAACCCCATCCCCTCTCAATAACAAACACGAAGCAGGCGCAGATCAATGTGAACAATTTCGGAAAATCTTTATTTCTTAGCTCGCCACTCTCACATGACTGCCAGGGAAGCAGGATTGCAGTAGTTGAGGCTTTTCTCACTCAGTAAGATTAATGCTCTCGTTTCAGCAATTAGCTCGCACAATCTGACGGAGTAATTTACTTAAATGTTGCCTTAAAAGATGTAATCCTTTAATTTTAGTTGAATAGCTTTGAAGGACTAGTTTAATTTGATACTTCAGTAAAAAAATCCAATTTTTACCATTGCTATACAGAAAAAAACACAACGAAATAATTGCATTAAAGAGAACGAAAAAACGAAAATGGATTAAAAATAAAGTCATCTACAATCCTCCAGTAAAAACCCTTAATGTAGAAACGATGCTAGACACAAACTGACGTTTCAACAATCTCAGATAAGCTTCAAAATCCGTTCAAATGCACAACGGCTGACGGAATCAACATGGGTCGGAAGTGTGTAATCTGGAAGCAGTTATCAGTATACGAACAGCCCTGTTTTGCATCTCCTTTGAGTGAAGCATACACACACGCAAGTGCATTCTAATGGATCCCCCAAATTTACTTGGCGGAAACAGAAACTAAAATCGAGTTTGCACACGGAAGTTTGCTGTGTTTAGTGTGAGCACAATTTTCCTCTTCCTGTCGCGAGGGCAAATCCCTGTGAGAAAATCGCAAAGTGCTAAGTTGCGAACATGTGCGCGTCTCTTTGAGACAAAGGCGAGGAGTGACATTCAAAATCTCTCTAGTACCTTCGCCAAAAGTTTTCGTTTCATCTCGCATTCTGTTTACACCTTTACCTAGGCCCGAATTAGTAAATTGGATGGCGTGTTTAAACAACAACTGCATCCAGAGGTGATGAAAAATTTACACCAGCATTCGAGCGAAAAGCCGCTATATTGAGTTTCTTCTCTGAGTTAAACTTCATTTAATTGCAACTAATTGTCAAGTTAATGCAGAGAATTTCTTTTCTTTAAAGAATTCTCTTGTAAATTTCAGATATTGGGATCAGGCAGGCTGAAGCGAGAGCGAACGAATTGATTATCTGCTTACCTTAAGGCGTGTGCTTTGAGTTGTTTGCTCTGTGACAGCTCCTCCAATGCGACGCCGTTGAACGGCAGGAAAGTTTCCTGAACGTCGGGGTGCGTCTCGAAGAGGCTGCAAACATATCAAGTGTGTCAATTTTCATATATTTAGTTTAATTAGCACAAGCGCAGAGGCAGCTCAATTTTAGCTACTTCAGAAAGGGTAAATATATGATCTGGCATATTTTTGAACGTTGTTTGCGTGTTTTTGCTTGCGTCTTGATTTTGAATTTTGAGAGAACATTAATTTCAGATATTTTGTTGACGTTGCGAAAACAATCTAACAATGTATAGTTAATGAATTTAATAAATTATTTAGGAAATGTAAAGTGAAGTTTAAACGTGGAAAAATTATACGCCTAAAAGTACGTTGATTTGCAAACAAAATTAAATAATTTAATTGCAATTATTATTAATCAAACCACCACGTTTTGTTTCATTGTTCATTTAATGTTTTAAAAGATATCAATTTTCATGATGGAAGTTAATTTTGATGAGCAGAATTGACTTCTTTTTGCAATAAAAAAGAAAAAAAAATCGTCAAAAGTTTTTAAAAAGTCCTAAATTACTTTTCAATTTAATTATTATTGTTTATTCTTAACAAATAAGTCATAAATGAAATGGAAAATAATATGAAGAAACGGCAGCACTTCTGGCTAACAAGTCGGCTCTAAAACGCGAAGCATCAAAGGTCCCCCCTAGGGGGAGTGCCGGAATAGGGCCGAAAAGAACAAGGCCGAAATACCGGTGCAAACAAAATAGGAAGAACCGATTTTTTTGGGAAATCACCGGGATAACCGTGTTATGTCAACCCGCCATCCCAATAAGAAACGGGACGCCTCGGGTCTCAGGACACACAATTTTTTTTATCATCGTCCTTATATAAATCAAAGAAAGAAATATCTAAATTATTTAATATGTGGTGGGAAGGAACTTTTCAGTTTCCTGGTTTTATTTATGGTCGATATGCCGGAAATACGTGAACCAAAAACTGACCAGCAGACTTGAAAACTCAAATATTAAGGAGAGCTTTTGCAAAAAAATGGCCCAATTAATTTTTCCCTACATTAATTAGCATTGAATTTTTTATGTCAGTTCCAAGGAGATATAGTTAAGACAAAATGAATTTGGTAGGAGACCTGAATTTTTGAAATTTAAATTTAGCATTGTTATGAGAATTTCCTAGAATTTATTTATTTTTTCTCAAAATTGGCTTGACCAAAATTGATAAATTGATTTCAAAAAATCACGTTCACACCACCCAAATTCAAATCAATAGGTCAGTTGACATAAAAAATTTACAAGTTAAAGTGATAGGTTTCCTGGACAAATAATTTCTTGAAAGATCGTGTTTTCCGAGTTCACATGCAGTATGTTTTTTTTTTTTAGCTGTACAGCAACGGCTGCGCATCCCAAAATTATGTTGGTACACGGCTGCCGTCAGAGCCATGGGGCCTTATGGCTCGGGCGGAAGACATCTTTTTTTTTTGGCCAACATAATAGAGCTGATGCGTGGCCTTTGCTGTACAGGAGATCAATTTATCTTCATCTTGTTGTCCCCCAAATTTCTGTGATTTTGTGATTATGTGTCTCGCCCAAAATGAAGATTTTTTTTGCGAAGTCTTGTGAAAAATCAATTTTCATCTATTTTCCATTGGGAATCGGCCGCATGACGGATTTTGGTATTGGCGCGCAAAGGATTGAATGTTCGCTGAGCTGAACGCGCTCGCGGTTATCGGTTATTTTTCAGCTTTCGGCCTTGTTCCTTTTCGGCCCTATTCCTTTTCGGCCTTGTTCCACTTAGCCGTTTTCGGCCTTGTTCTTTTCGGCCCTATTGCGGGACTCCCCCCCTAGATGGGCAATTTGAATGGTGAGTTGTAAGTTCCATGTCATCCATGATTATAGGGTCAAATGAACCCTGTAACAATTTTAAATTTTGAAACAAAATTTTTACTTTAAAATTATTAAAAATTTAGTTATGACTGTAGAAGTTCCCTAGTAAGAACTAACATGCTTTCAATGACTGAATATGATATAAATTAGTCCTTTGAAGCCTGTTTCAAGCCATAAGCGCCTTCAAGTTCTAAACACATGAAAATGGAATAGCTTCAAGTGTTAAACTTTTCATGAGAGCTTGTAAAGTCGCAAAGGTGTGCAAAGCAAGTCAACTGTGATATGACGTAAGGACGGCGGCCTTTAAATATAAATCTGAAAAGCTGACGTGCAAAACGTGGAAATTTCCAAGAAAATATGTCTAATTAGGCTTTTAGCGCTGACGTTTCCTTATGGGTTTAGAACGCAATTTTTCGTCTCTGTGAACTCAATGAAGCCGAATTATTATTTTTTTTTGCCCAAAAATTGTTGATAAAATTATTTTGATTTTTTTGCAGTGCTTGCAAATTTATTTACAAAAGTATTTTTTCCAAAACTTTGTCAAATTAATTTGTTGTTTATTTTTCTTGTGAAAATAGGCACAGCCAAAAAATGCGGAACAGGATATTATTTTCGTTATACAAACAATGCAAAATGAAAAAATGCATCGATACGGGCTTAAAATTAAAACATAATAACGTCCTGTGCTTAAATTTTTTTCGTGGTAAGTTTTGTTTGCAAATTTACGTTATGAAGCAAATTTGCAAATTGTTTCAATGCAAGATAAAAAATTTGACAATTTTTCAAAATTTCACCCTCCCACTGCCGAAACTAATACCACTGACGGCGCTTCCAACATGAATCATGCATGAGTCGCTGAGGCAGAGCATGATTTATGTGTGGGCAAACGCCAGTGAGGACGATTAGCACTAGATGCTAATGACGTCGCGGTACCAACGAGGTAGTTTCCATGCAAATTTCGCATTCGGATAAGCGCATTTGGGAGGTCTTTGCGAAACCGCAGCCACCCCAGCGACTGCAACTAGGCGCCTAGGCGTAAGCCACGGCATGTTCTGTCACACCGCTTAATCGGTCTTTGACACCCTTTATTACACTCAACTTTTCGCACTGAACTATAATAGGAAGCCAATCTATTGTTAAAAGCATTTGAGTCTTCTAGTAAAATCGATACAATTAATAGCTATTGTAAAAATGTCAAGTATTAAAATGGTGTACCAATAACACTAACTAAGCTGAATTTAATATTTGTATTAAAATTGATAAAAATGGGAGAAATAATTGGTCTCTCGATTAAGAAGAAATCAAAGCTCTGAATTAATAACTATTTTTAACGCTTCTAAATGTGGAACTAAATATGAGGTGAGTTTCTGAACTTTTGATGACGAATATGTATTTTGAAGCTTTTGATTGCTACCTCGAGTTAAAAAATTTAATCTGGTATCGTTTTACTCAAAAAATTTAAGAAGAGGAATATTTAAATTTAAAATTACACAGAAAAGATTTCAAGCTTGCAATATCAAATCCAAATTTTGGCGAAAAAAGTATTATGTACATCACAATTTATTTCAAACAACCTAGATAGATAGACATATCTCGCCAATAGAATTCCATTAATATACAAAGCATCAAAATTAATTTAATAGTATTAGGTGATTTGCTATGCAAATGTATTCAAATCAACTGATTTTATTCTAATAATAGTACCAAATTTTGAAAAAATCAAACATAAGAATTACCAATCAGTCTTAAAACAATCATGGCTCAATGAAGTTGATTGCGTGGGTCTTTTTGGTATCGGAAGTTTTAGTCAAATTCTTGCTGGTCTAGTGGTGCCTTTTTGCCCAAACAATAAAAACAAATTTTTGGCAAATTTAAACAGAATATTTACTTTATTGAGATAAAAATTTCGTCCTTAAATGCGTGGCATTATTAACGTGGAATTGGAAAGCACAAAATTTTTTCGATTTACAAAGCAATTTGCAAGAAATAGCCCATTAATTTGCAAACGCGTAAAGTGCAATGGGCGTGGAAGTGACGGAAAAGTTGTCGACAATTTTTGCCCCCCAGAAATTATTCTGACTGGCTGAGCACCAGCTGACGTGGGCTTTCTCTTTTTCCCGAGAGAAAATTTGTGTGCCGGCTAAAATCGGCTCGGCGGAAAAGATTTCCTCCGGCTCGTCGCGGCGCATGTTTAAGAGAGGGCTTTCGCCTCAACCCTTTAGAAAGTCAAGAGCGCCGACTGCGTCTAAATGTTTACATTGTTCATTGTAATAATTCCAAGAGTGCGAGCAAAAAGTGTAATTACTCGAAGACGTTTTACGACTTTCGCTCTAATAGTGTGCGGTTGTTTTATTACAAAATTTATACTACAGATTTAACCTAATTTCCGCTTGAAAAAAGTTGCCAGCTATAAACAAAAACGTCTCGTTTTTCGAGCCGAAGGAAAATGATTTTGATCACATTTGTCGCAGAGTCAGTTTCAAAAGGAGATGCAATGATTGATATCATTTTTAATGGAAATCAATATGGCGAAACAACGACCTCCGAAGTTTATCGCTCATATTTAAACTTTTTAATAAATCGCGTGCTCTCAATAAACGAAAGGAAAATATTGATTTCCTATAAATATTTCATCAGAAAAAAATTATGGCTTGATAAATATTTTGCAATATTGTTGATCAGGTGTTTCTGCTTGATAAAACATTTTACCATCAAAATCTGCATTCATTTTAAATTTTATAAAAAAAAAATCAATTGATTCTTTTCCTGAAAATAAGAAAATTTTATAGAGAAATAGATCGATAAATGAAAATTATTTCATTAATGGAGTGATGGGGTTAATTAATTGTGAATTGTGATCATGAAAGATTGAAACCGGGCGAGCCTCGTTGCAAAGAAAAAATAAAGGACAACTGACCCCAAAGGCGACCTGCGGTCATGAAATCCACCTCGAATGTTACCATTCAATTTTGAATTGTGATCATATTAAAATTAAAGCTTTATAGTCTAACACCTAAAAACAAGATACTTAATGAAAATTCTTATGTTTACCAATAATTTGAATAGCTTATTAGTTGGTGGCAAAATGTGTTATTTCAACCTGAACTAGGGTGAATTAAAATTAAAAATAATCACTGAATTATTTGATTTTCTCCACCAATGAGTTTCGTGCAAGATAAAAAAAAATACTCTCACTCTTCGCCACTGGAAAGTTGTTGAATAAAGTGTAAAACTTACATGTAGCAGCCAAGAGACTTTTAACAAAGTTAGTGACAAGCGCATTTCATAGTTTTCACAAAGAACTCGAATTTCCACTGCGTTTCCTTTGTTCCCTTTGATTGTGCGTCTCGTCTTTGGAGTGGGACGCTATGTAATATTAATTCGCAACGTCGGTGCTGTTCCCATTTCCAAGATATTCACAAAGCACTTCTTGACATTGGCGAGCCGCAATCCGAGAACAGATTGCGGAGCTCCAATTGTATTCCGTTTGCGTTCGCGGCTTGTTATTCTCTCGTGAGAGCAAATTTTGCACGCGGTTTAAAATTGCACGATGTGTGCGGTTTGCGCTCAAGTGATGGAATTCCTAATGTAGCTCTCTGCGGATATTAGATTTACTTCCTGACTATAAATGTGTTGCGAGCGAATTGAACCGGAAAATCCGACAGACACACACTTGACTTGCGTGACACCGAGCTTGTTAGGAAGTGGTTGGAGGAGGTGGTGATGTGCATGGTGAGAATTTCCTATTAATATAAATTAGGTATTAATGTTAAGCTGGATCGATGCTATCAAAAATGCAACAGTTTTTATACTGAAAATTGAAACCTCGTCGCAAAAGCAAATCAGCATAATTTTTTTAAATAAAAATCATTCTTTTCCAATTGAAATGAAATTTTTTTTACCTAGTTTCTCTTTTTTTCACTCAATAGCTTATTTAAAAAATATTCAAGAGTAAAAATCTACCTAATAAAACATTTATTCTAGCCAAGCTTGTAAAAATACAACTGCTTAATTTGCATAAGATATTCCAGATTTTCAACTTCAATCTAATCAGTGTTGCTTTTCTTTGATTTCGGCCAAGCCTAAAGTGGGGTCTACCGTGTCGTATTTTAGTAAACTTTTCAAAAGTCGTCAAAACTCGTAGGACTTCTGAACTCAAATAAAGTCACACGCACATCAAAAACTGAACGTTTCTACTCAAGTCGAAACTGTTATTTCTTTTCATGCATGCATGCGAAGGTGTGTTTCAACTTCAAAGTCAAAGAGTTCCAGACGTGCGCAGGTTTTGAGAGGCGCAGAATATATAATTTTAAAGAGGCCGCAGTACGTGCCTGAATGAGCGAAAGCAAATAGACGACGCTCCAAGAGTGCACGGTGGAGAGGATCTAAAATTAGATTTGCACGAGATTAAATGAAGTGCGGACAGTTTGCTGAGCTACTCATTCAATTTCATAGTGCAGCAAAACAAGTCAGGCTGAATGTAAATTTTAAACTCCACGTTTCCCTCTCAAAATGTTTTACGGCTTTAGTTTAATCTTCTTTGTGGCGCTGACCGAAAATGGACACGCGAGATAAGCGAATAAATATAGATATTTATCAGTCTGGAAAGTAATACATGCAAAAAAGTATAAAAGCGCTTCTTTTTACCCTTTCCACGCGACGCATTCCTTCATAGTGTTGCTTATCATTCCTTTTTGTGAGAACGAATGGTCGTTTTAGCGGACCGGGTTATCTGCATTTTCGCACAATGCCACCCAACCACACACAAATATCTCTCCACAAACATTTTTGCCCCGCCCGATCTCCCTATATATTACCCTCTCGCATTCTTAAGAATGTCTTTTTTGATTTTACATCACTGGGATGCTTTTCGTTTGTGAAGTCGTGGGCATAAAAAAGCGAACAAAGTAATCAGCCCCACAGGGCTGAATAACTTTCGCTCCTCTGCCACTGCAAAAGTGGGTGTATCAGAAAAGTTTCCATTAGAAGTTTTGGTCTTCCCAGAGGTTTGAGCATAAGCTTTTGTTTATGACTGAACTATTGGAGGAAGGCAAATGTCAAAAGTAGGTTTGAAGTGCTACCGTCGGCAAAAACTGAAATGAAGATTTGTTGCAACTTAATGAATGTGTCAGCGTGATTTCATTTTCAATTATTCTTTCAAAATTTTAGTATTTTTTTTTTTATCAAAATTTTGAATTCAAGCAATCAAATAAGGAAAGATTTAAAAATATAAATGTTGAGAACTGCTACTAATTTTAATACTTATCAGTTTGTAGAAGTTTTCAACATTACCTAGTGGGATTTGGTTTAGTTTAAGTTTAAACATTAATTTCATACTTAAAGTAAAAAAAAAAAAAATGGAAATTAAAGGCTACTCCAATAATTACAGATTATCAAACTTTAATAGTAAAATTTGAAGCTCAAGAGTTATTTTAATTCCTACTTGAATTATTAATTTACACAGCACTTGCCAGAGAGTCTCCATTAAATTATGAAGAATTATGAATTATGAAAGAGAATTTCAAAGAAAATAGCTTACAAAATTTGCATATCGTCACTTATACTGGGAACAGGGATTATAAATTAATTAGTTGGCGAACTTCTTCCTGGCGAGGTGTATAGAGACGCATTAAGAGCGGCACTCTCATTTTCCCGATGATGAATAATTATATAAACGGAAGCGCGGCAGATGTGCAAAATGAATCTGACGGAACGAACAGCACTTACGCAGAGAGAGAAATTTTAATCACCAGAGCCACGCAATGCTGCCGGGAATCTCTTTATTGAAAATGCGAATTCTAATCCCTGCTGGTTGATACAGAGAGCAAAGAGAACCGAGAGAGTGAAAGTATGGATGGAATTATTGCCGAGTGTTTTAGCCTTCAGGATTATTTCAAGAGAACGACGAGCTCTGTCGATTACTTGAAACTCCAAGTCTTCGCATATTTGAACATTTCAAATGGAATATACGTGCTTAAAATTTATATAAAGTTTTGTTCCGCCAGGTCCTCAGAGGCTACTCGACTAAATTTTAACTCTCCTGGCAGCATAAGGTCTGTAATTTGCATTTTGGTCATGTGGTGTGTCAGCTAACAAAGACTAACTACTGCGCGGGTTTGTTTGTTTGGGAAATTTTATTTTGGGTCAAATGGTTAAGCACGCGCGTGAGCGGCAATTCTGGGAGTTGTAATTTTTTGCTTTAAACAGCCACTTTAAATTCGTTTCAGCTTAAACTGCTGGAGTCGTAAAAAGTTGGATGGCGGTAATTCGAGTATAATGGGCAAGGACTGTTGAAAATAGGGGGAAATTCAGGAAAAAAAAGTCACAGCGTTAGAGAGAGGGACAAATAGGATTTTTTTTGCAAAAGAAAGAAAATTAATTTTTTTAAGTCAACTGCAAAATTGTATAATTTGAAATTGAATTTCGTCTTCAATAATTATTGTTATTATTATTATTATTATTTTTTTTTTTGCTTATGATATCCGGTGAACTTAAAAGGCCGAAAAGGAATAATAAAAATTGTATATTTTAACTTTTATAAATTACTAATTGTAAGATTACCAGTTTCCACAATATTTGAAAATTATCCTTAAATTTTACCCATTTTCTTTTGCTAAATCATTTGGTTAAATTTTTTGTAGCTTAATCGAAACAAAGTCTATAACTGCACATAAAAAAATTTAAATAAATTACTTCTCTTGGCTAACGCGGTGGCCGATCTCTGTTTGATGTCGGGCATTTTAGCAGACCTCTGCTACTAGTGATACCCTTTCTGCTCATTTTTCCAACTCAATTTTTTCATTTATTACTTGAGTAGAATAAAAAACAACTTAATTACTGCTAAATATGTTGAACTCATAGAAAATTAATTTTACCCAAATTGGAACAAAAAATTTGCAGCAGTGAAAGAGGAAAACTTTTATCACAAGTAATCATGGAATCGTTGGAGAAAAAGGCACCACCACTAGCAGAGATTTCCCTAAACTCATTGTTAGTAAAATCGCAGATATTTTAGAGATATTATTTTTCGAATACAATGCACATGAAAATAGTTTTTTAATACTGTTAAGAAACTTTTACCAGTATAACAAGCGAAATTTTTTTACTCATGAAACTTATAATTTCATTATAATTTTAAAAATCTTGTTAGTTTTGACAAAAATACTTTCAAACCAAACGATTTTCCGTTGCTTAATAATTTATTATAAAACTGAATGCTCTAATTATTTCTTACCTGATGAATGTGATGACGCCGACCTTGGCAATGTTGGACTCGAGTTCCTTCCACGTCTCCTCGAGCAGCTGCACCTGGTGCTCCGTCAACTGGGGTGGTGCCTCGACCCCGTTGACCACCTCGGGGCCACTGGCCGGCTGCTCCTGCGAGTTGGAGGAGCCGTTGCTCTCTCCAGCTGACTTGACTTGCTTGTTGCCCATGATTGCGGCCAAATTCACTCCATGCTCTCCTCCCCAGCGGAGCCACGCACACCGACTGACGGACGCGCAGCTCCTGCTCGCTCTTTTGCTCGCCTTCTCCCTTCGGACGCGCGCATGACCCGCAGAGGAAAGCGCAGATCCCAATCTTCCTCACGTGCACGTGTAACAATTTTTCACCACATATTGATCTTGTAAGTGAATTTTTATGATTATTTTACTGTAGTTTCAATGTAGTGCCGCAATTAAATACGGGACCAAAGATTGTTTAATTTAAAGAGGGAAAAACTTTACGACTTAAATTTAAGAAAAGAAATCGTTTAAAGGAGAATGATATTTTTTTCAATAGTTTTTGGCAGCAATTATTCTGAAAAGAGACTCTGATGTTGGTTTAATGTCTATTCATACAAAAATTAAAAACTGCTTAGAGGTACATTTTTATAAAGCCTTAACCCGATTGATCGGTTTGATTCTCGAAAACGCTTCAATCGATGTAATTTGAGTTGCTGAATAGCTTGCTGCAGAACACAGCTTTGTGTTGCGCTTGTTCTTTTACAATTTATTTTTACTATAATTAAATAAAAACTGAAAATTTATTTTGATTTTTTTCCCTTTCCTATCCGCATGGGCTATTTATTATTTTAATATTGACCTTAAACATTTAACTTCACACATCCAAAACTGGAAAAAACCTATCTTTGTTGATTTTTTCAGCCAAGAGAAAAACTATTTAAAGGAACTTAAAACTTTCAAAATAACTACAAATTTGTGTAGTGATGGTTGCTCTGTCAGTTAGTATCTAAGAAAAAAATGATCAAGCAGAATGTAAACAAACCAATTTTTATTGCCACTAAATTCCAATTCCATTCAAAATTAAATCATGTATTTATAATTTCTGAAATTTTGAATTATTTGCGGAATGAAGAGAAACGCATGCTTATAATAATAATTTAATAATACTGTAATATACTAAAGTGAGTGGTAGTCAAAATTTACTCAAGAGCTCAATATTTTTTTTTAGTATCAACGAGGTATCTATCTAATTTTCCTTTAAAATGATATTTTGAACTTAAACCTAACTCTCAATAGAGGAAACAAAAATTATGATACTAATTCTAATTTATTATATATTTATTTGGCTGTTTGGCTGATTCAATATTCAATTGACGTATTTTCCCAGGACTTCATGACACATATCCAACTTAATTTCGCTTCTGCAAATAATGGCTTGCAAATACAGATTTTCAATGAATATCACAAATTTTATCCACAACAGTTTTTGAAAACTGACTTATTATATTATCAATGAAATTGAAGCTTAAATAATCTACTTAAAAATATCATTAGAGTTTATTCCCAGTCATTGTAATTGATTATTGCCCCAGTCAGAAAGCAATAACCCGCAATAACCGTATGACTGTTCCATTTTTATTGTATTGAGTAACAACAATTGTACGGAGCCGCAAAATACATAAGTGCGCCAGATTGAGTCAGATCGTGCGCTGCTCTCATTGCTTCTTTGGCACCGCCATCCTGTACACCAAATTGAAGGCTGAAACAATGCCAACTGCCAAGAGAGCAACGGTTACGCCAAACAGCACTTTGTCGGCGGGGCCTCCTTTCAGATGGATCGGGATTCCATTCGGTTTCTACAATCATGCCAATTATAATCGTCAAGAGTAATTAATAACCTCTGAGTGAGTTCACCTGGTAATGTTCCATTTTGAGACGCAGCCTTTCGTCAAGTGGTGCGTAAAAATACGAGGTTCCGGGAATCTGCTTTCTGGGGACTACCCTGCAGTTTCCTTGAACCTGGGCGGCTCGGGTCGATTTTTGATCAAAGATCACTTGCGACCTGTCTGCTTTCGAATAAGACCTTGGGCTCTGAAGACAGGTTGAAATAAATTGTATGGTTGTTTATTTAAGTTTTTTTTAGTTATTTATTGAATGTGAAGTATGACTCATATTTTTTCCACAATTTAATTTTAGATTAAAATGAAAATATTCTTCTAAAATGGTTTATTTAGTCAGAGGCTGCTAATAAAAAAAAAATCTGAGGACATCCTTGAACGCAAAAATTTGTATACTTTGAATATTTTGTTACCTCTTTAAACTATATATCAACGTTGAAAAAGATAACTTTCCTTAACTATGAAAACAAAAACATTTCTCGTTTGGACTTTCTGTTGATTATTTTAAGCTAAATGCATTATTATTTAACGTGTCTTGGGAAAAAAATCAGGATCTTATTCAATTATTATAATGTCAACTTCTGACTTTACAATAAATACAAATCTCCAAGTTAACTGACAAACTGCTAAATATATTTCAAAAATATTAAAAGTGTGAATTAATAAAAAATTAAATAAATATAGATTTGTTTAGAATATAAGTGAAATGTTGATAGTAAAACAAGCATTTATACTTCAAACTTTTTTAAATTAAATGATTATTTGGAAATATTAATTTCTAAAATATAATTTCTTAAAAAAACAAATTATTAATATTAGATGAATCTTACGAGAGGATAATAAGGCCACATTGCGCTCGTCGCTCCAGTCAACCTCCCAGTGTAGTTATCGAATTGATGGTGCATTTTTCCTCCAAAATCACGGAGCAACAGTCAAAAGGCAGAACTTAGGCCGTTGGGGTCGATAGAGTGCAATGGTGAAAATAAATCGCGCTGCGGCCGAGTGCAACGCCTCTGGTGGCCGAAGAGGAGCAAGGGCCGCCGCGTGCTAAGAATGTTTACAAACGCAGGAGCGCCCCGTGGATAGCACTAGACAATTTGCGCTGGTCCGACTGAGGGGCAATTTCCATGGACAAGTGGACAAATCGGGGCCGGGCGGAATTATGTCGTCGGTGAGCGAGACGGAGGAGCGACTCAAGGAGGAACAAGAGGACTGGCAGGTGTTTCATCTTCTGTGCGGGGCCAACAGTAGCGCCAATGCAAGTACCAATTACTCACCTGGGGACAAATTGGGTTGGTTAGGACCTCAGTCGAGTTTGTGGAGAAAATGGAAAGATTCTTCAAACATTTGAATCTTGAAAGGCAGCAGAGGAAATTTAAAAGATTATTTTGTAAAATTAAATTTCCGTTCTACCCGATTAATTAAAAAGATTAATAAAATCCAATAATTATTACTTTTTCATCCAGCTTTCAACAACAAGCCTTCAATTGTGTCCAACTTTTGATATATTTTCCAAAAATATGCTTCTTTCTTTAGAACAAAACTAAACTTTGTACTTTGCCATATGTTTAACCATTATTTGAATAATTTTGGAATTTATTCAGAGGGTTGAAGATCAAAGGTAACATTCTTGTTACGTAAACATTGACAAGAGCTGCATAGTTTCTGCCCAAAATTTATGCGTTTACGCATCAGAGGGTCACATTTCTTCTGACCCCCATTATCCCTCTCGTCTCCAAACTTTATTAAACGTGGCCTAATGAAATCTGGACTTTTACGTGGCCATAAAGGCCCGTCGCTGTCCCTCGGCGTGTCCGACGAGCAGTGCAATTTCGTATGGCTGGTTTTGCCGGGTGAAAAATGGCTACGACGTGGTATTGAACAAACAGGCGCGCTGCCCGTTTGGTAACCATGGCGGTTGGCTAATCGGCCCTCGTTTCAACTTGATCGGGGCCTTCTCGATGTATCAGGCTTCATTTCTCCCACCAGAGGATCAATCAATTCAATTAAACGTTTGGTTAGAATAATTATATCAAATTAGTTGAAAACATCTTTGTATAAAATCAAGTCGTGTGTTTAGGTGAAATAGTTTAATTTTTAATATGTAAAAGCCACTAAATAATTTTTTGAATTATTATTTTGGAAGAGAAATTTGAAATTTGTCATAAATGCACATGCCGTATAAGAAAAAAGCGTACACATTATTATTGGCACTTTTTCTTTTTTTATGTTCTAGATATGGCAAATAATCAATTGTATTTTATTTATTTCTATGTGGAATACATGCAAGCGATTTTAATAGAAAAACAAACTGAAATTTTGATTACGATTTCCAAGACTTCAGTAATTATCTATTTTTATCATAGCCAGTTTTTTATTCAAATAATTCCAAATTAATTGAAGTTCAAATGTAATTTTTATATATATTTTTTGTAAAGAATTTGGACTTTCCTGTTTTTTCATAGCACAGAATTTCAATTTTGCTTTATGGCCGATATGGGAAAGTGTGCCCTGAGTGGATCGAAACGTAATCCAATCGAAAAAGCGGAATTGACATGAGTAAATCGTGAAAACGCTCGCAGGCAGTTCACTGAATGTGTCACTCTTCGCAAAAGCTCTCAAGCGCTGCAGGGTACAAATTAATTCAGCTCCGATTAATAGCCCGCTAAATCCGATCAAAGAAGATCATTAAACGGTATTTTGCAATACAAATTTGTGCTACCAACGCGGTGGGCTTCGTTGGAGATTAATTGGATTTGGGTGGGTTGCTGGTCAAATTAACTTTTTTATTAGAGGTACAGATTTTTAAATTTAAAAATAATAGTAATAACACATAAATAAAATGAAGTGTATATATCAGATTTTATTTTAGTCTAATTTTTAATTATTTGTTTATGCAATATTTATTTTATTTTTTTTTTTTTAGTTGAAAAAACTTTCATTTTTCTCTTTATATCTGTTCTGTTTAGTTTTGTTGGTATGGTGTTTAATTAAGAAAAAGAATTATATATCCATCTTAATATTTTTTATTGGGTTCTTCACTGCTGCGTTTATCTCTAGATTTTGAAATAAATTTTAATTTTTTAGGTTCCTCCCAAATGTTGTGTTTATTTATTGATAATCATTTTCATCATCAATAATGTTATTATTTAATTATGGAAACAAAATAACAAAAGGGAATTATTGAATAAAACGGCTATATTATACCAGAAACTTCGTAAGATTTTTGTTAAAAATTCGGGGTAGATGAAATATACCTAAAACATGGAGTGAAGAGATTTGGCCAAGATTATTGAAAAAGAAGAAATAAACCGCGGTTATTTCCATTAGAGTAAAAGTATCGATTAGCAAACTTTTTATGTTTGCAGGCCGATTCCAGTGGTGCGCGTGTGTTTCTAAAATTGGCCCCCATTGTGCTCGCGGGGTGGGACTGTTATTCAGGGGTGAGTCGAATGCTCATTGAGCGGCTGATACCAGTTAGTACACGGTCGGTCCGTCTCTAGACAAAGTGCTCACAAACGCCAGTCACATTCAGGGACACTGATTTTGAAACCACCACTGCTCTCCAATATGCGTCTCCTGGCAACAGGTAGGGTTTAATTAGCCTCTGTTTGTCGCACGTGCTGACCGATTCAGCCCTCAAGAGGACTACTCGCGTTGTCCCTTGCCAACTCGCACACGTTTCTAGAAACGGGTGAATTTTGAATGTAGGTCACGCAGCCGTTTATTATGATTAATTCAAGATTAACAAACAAAAATTGTTGAAAATTATTATTTGAATTTTAGACAAATTATTTATTTGTTATAAATTCTGTCAATACTGAATACAAACATTTTGTAAATTATTTACTTAAGCTTTAATCACTGTCAAACGTTTTTGGCAAAATGTTCTTTCTTATCATAAATTTGATTTAAACTTTTCTTTGCACAATTTTTTTCCGTCTCGTTTTCTTTTCAAATATCTTACTTAGAGGACTTCAGAAGGCGTATACAAATCTTGTTTTACTTGAATTGGAAATTTCGAATAACATTGCATAATGAAAGTTTAAAAAACTATTAAAAATGTATTCTTTTTACAGCCACTATGAATATTATTTCCTCAAAGGCACTGATAATATTTCATTGTGGATTTTCAGGAAGCCGTTTTTGACCATTTTTCTAGGTAAAGCCTTTATTGCTTACAAAACAAACACTTTGATTCATTTCAGGAGTTTATTTTAACCCGTCAAGCATAAAATAAACATGCCCCGTCGAAATCCTCGAAAATTCTCTTTAAATTATTCATTCCGAGTTGGTACAAGTGTCTCTCACTCAGCAAGGGCGTTTGTGTTACGAGTTAAGCTGGAGCGTGAATTCCTGGCTCGTACATGCAAATTTAAACCTCTGCATGAGACGAGTTGGTGATGGAGCAGCAGTGGATGAGGCTGTCAAATATGAAAGGTCTTTCGCTACTGTATCAATTAATTCCAGCCGCTGTGGGTGTTTAGTGTTTTCACCATCTCCCTTTCTGCGAACGAGACCACACGCTGAGCGAGACTTGTTTTAATTAGCAGTGGCTTTGCCCAGTGCCACAGAATTGCTCTAATTTGCGAGGATTCCCCGAAAGGGCTCGCATGTGCTTTTACATAGCATTCCGGTTTGTTTTTACGCTCTATAATTTGAAATTGCGGCAATCACTTTTTCGCCATACTTTGTCACTGCCCAATTTGAAATAATTGGCAAAAGCTGAACTTTAATGTTGTTTGTAAATAATGGTTTAAATAACTTTTATAAAAATTTAGAGAATGGTAATTGTATAATCTGTTATACACTCCAGTTCTCCACTCCATTAAAAATTATGCAACCAGCTAGACACTCCTGTTACGCAGGTTGCATTTGTGGTGCTTCTGTTTTTCCTCCATTAACTATAATTGTACAAGAGCAACATTAACTAATGCAGAAGTTTGTGTGTTGTTTTAGATGGAAGCTGACGACATGCCTCATGACATGGCAACCGCTTTGCGCAGCGAACTGGCTGCGCTTCAGTACAAAAAGGAACGGCTCCAGGCTGAGGTATTTCAATGCATAAGATAAACAATATCATTGGGGAACCTGCAAAATTAACTTAATAATTTATAATTTCACCAGAAGTGACAAATTATAACAACCATATTCACTTAATTTATTTCCAATATTACTTTACTGTAGTTTTATTTACTTTTTTTTTTATTTTTTTATAGAAGCGTATTTCTGAGAATGCATTGTACCTCGTAAATATTTCACTTTGAAAATTTTCCATTACTAATTTTTTTAAAGTTCTCTTGATCGCGTCCAAGGTTTAAAATAATGCCGATGCTAAATCTTTAAGTTTGAAATTAGAGAAAAACCCTTTTAGACACAAATAAATTTGTAAATTTACAATTCTATTAATTGCTAAAAAAAACCTTACTATAATAAATTGTTAATAACTTTAAAGCGATCACATTAAAAATGGAATAATGTGACCAATTTAACATTTGTTTTAATATTATTAATTTTAGCATAGATATATTTTTAATAATTTCTATCAAATTTTGTAAGAAAAATATGAACCAAATAACATGAGCAGCATACACAAAATAAAAAGTTATTTACTGTAAGACGTGGCATTAGAATCACACAAAAATTCCAATTGGGCAGCTGCAAGATGCACGTAACCAGTTGCGGGGACGTGATCAGAGGACGCTGGAGCTACAGGCTGAGTGCGAAAACCTGAGGGAGCAGTCAGCGAGGCAAAGTGCCGTGATCGGTTCGTTGAAAAAGCGGCAGAACGAGCTGGAGGATCGTGAGCGGTGTCTCAATGTCAACAGCGGCCGGATCGAGGCCGACCTGCAGACAACCCAGCGCGACAAGCGATACCTCGAGGAGAAGATCAAAGAGCTCGAGAAGAGAATCAGGTTTCGCAAAGTCAAAATATGAAGAGAACGTCCTCGTAAATCTGTTGCGTTTCACAGATCTTTGGAGCTGGAATGTAATTCCGAGGAGCAGCAGAAGGATATTGCGAGAAAATCGATGCACGATTTGGTGCGTCGCTTGTCGGTCGCCCTCGGAACCGAGTTCTGCGACTCGATAGTTTCTTGTCCCGAGTCGTTGGTGCACAAAGCCTCGGAGCTTGTACAGGTTAGAGCAAAAAATAATCGCATGAATCATGAAACCTGCGGAAATGGGAACTGAGACTAAAATATTTTTTATTTATATAATATTGTCAATTATTAGCTTCTTATTGTTTCATAGAAAGCAATCGTATTCAACTTTTTCACGACAAAGATTTTTGAATAATTCTGATAAATAGTTTAGTTTAAAGAACTGATTTTCTAAACAATATTTTACGAATAGTCATAATGATAGAAAAAATAACTCTAGAAACAGAAACTGCAGCCATGTGTGAATTTCTTCTATTACATCACCTTTAATGAGCTGAAGTATTTATGAGGAAGGGTTAATTAAATGCAAATAAGTTATTTCATCATGGCCTATTATTCAGCTGCCTCCTTTTCATAATATTATTTTGAACCCGGCAAAAAGACAAATTCCGTCAGCAATTTAGGCGATGGTGTTAGTCAAATTATGGTGATTAATGATCAGCAGTTAGTCGCGCGTTAATTTGATTATATATTCTCAGGAAACTGCGCGCTTGAGGACACGAGCTGCTAACACTTGTGACAGCCTCACCTCCACCGAAGTTGAGCTGAGGACGTGCAGAGATGCTCTTGATAGAAGCTCGGCGGACAGGGACGCTCTGCAGAGACAAGTGGCCAGCAATTTAATAGAAATCGATCGACTGAGACAGGTGGGTGTCAAAAGAAATAAAGCGCTTTAATTAAAATTCCCTTCGGACTGGTATTGACGACATGCTCGGTGTTTGAATTTGCTTGAATAAATTTCACGCAAGAAAAAGGAAAGCCTCTGAAATGGGAAGGTGCGAAAAGTGCCAAGTAAAATTAATTGGCCTTTTTACAAAAGGGTTGGGGGACTAAATTTATGTCCCACTTCATTATTCGCGCCTGAAAGAGAGGAGAATAATCTTTATTTTTCCTCGTTTAGATAGTAAATGAAATTCCTATTCAACAAAGCTGATTTGATTCACATGAAAGTTCTGGTAACTTCAAATGGTGTTCAGAAATTTGCATAGTTCATTGTTTTTATGTAAAAACTCATATTGATTATGAGCTTTCGAAGTTTCCAGAGCAGCAAATGATCAGACTTGCAAATTTTAGTCTGTTTTTTATTCAAACAAAAAATGCGAATAATTCAGTCTGCTTTTAAGTAATTCAGTCTTTTTGATGGTTTTTATTGGCTTGGGGTATAACAAAAACAACAAAAGGAATGAAAAAATAATTTCATATTTTTTTTTTAATCTATGCCAATGGTAGTATAATAATTTAACATAATTGTCCTCCTAAATCTGTTTTAAAAGCAACATAATTATAAATATTGATAACTTATCTTGCAATTCTGTACTATTAAGCTACACTTATTTTACCAATTTAGAACCAACTTTTTAACTTCCTTTATTATCAATCTACGTTGCTTAAATTTTTCAAGATGAAATTTTCATTAATAAGAAATACGTGTGTAAATAAATTTGTTAAATTTTCATTCAACTTATTACTTAGAAGCAATTACCATCTTAATTTGCAATTTTTATTCTCATAAAATTTAACTCCATTTATAAAAATTAGAGGGAAACAAATCATGTGAAATGTGATTCTATTAACAAAGTGAGAACAGTAAGATAAAGCAAACTTTTCAGACACGTTCCTCGTCACGTTCTTGTTAGCAGCCTAATAAGACTTTCCATAAAAAAATCCAATCAATAAGCACTCTAATTGGATCATCTTCACTCACTTATCATTACCAGAGGAAAGTTATTCCGAACCCTAGGGCGCTAAATTCACAGAAAGTTTAGCTAAAGTTGGCGCTAACTTTCCCAACGGCGATTAATAATCGATCATTTCCGACTGTTCTCCAGACGAGAGTTTGATTTCCTTCCGATGCATTTCTTTCAGGACAAGGAAACTCTGGACATGCAACATCGGGTTACGGAGCGCGAGTTGGCCGACCTCCGAGAGAAAATTGCCGTGACCAGCAGGACCCTCGGAAACGCAACCGGATCGTTGGCCGCACAGGAAGCGCAAATGGCACAGCTCAGAGGTACACTTTCCACAAATTGCATTTTTTTTTCAGCGCTTCTCGCAAAAAGTAATGTAAAGAGACAAGATCGCCAGCACTCTTTTTCGGAAAGGAACAATTGGATTCCTAAAGTTTTGATCCAATCACTCTAGGGGGTAAAGAGATATCCGAGCAGAATTAAAAAGAGGAAGGGAAATAATTGCCTTTATATTTAGTTTTACGGTCGTTTGGCGCCGGTTCCCTCTTCTCTGGCAACTTTAATTGTCGCCTTTATCGGCAGCTTGAGGGCAATTTTATACATCTCGCGCATTAACAATTTGATGGTGCGGAGGACCGTATACAGAGCAGACCCCTGCGAAGCGCACATCAAAGCTGCTTATTGTTCTCAGTGGTCGCGTGTGAGCCCATTTCAAACGCGTTGACTTTCGGCGCTCCAGGGCTCACCAAGAGTGGCTAATTAATATATGTAGTGCTTTTGCCCTCTTGACTAATATTTATGCAGACAGACCAGGTAGAATATTAATTGTTAGATCAGTACCCCATTTGGAAATGTAAAGAGTAGAAATTCTAAAACTTTTGTATATTTTGTTCATTGGATTTAATAACTTGTAAAATATTAAAACACAAAGCTAAAAATTTAGATCAATAAAAAGTACTTAATTTCAAACAAAAGGTAAATAAAAAGATTAAAATGTTGAAATCATTGTTAGATAATTTTGGTAAAATATTTATTTTGAGATGAATGATTGGAAAAAAAATTGAAACTTTTGATATTCACTTTCAGAGATTATTTTATTTACATAAGCAGCAAAAACCTTCTACCAAAACTCTTGAGAAAAATTATTCAAATAGAAAAGTATCCACAAATCAATCATGTAGATTAAAAATCATAAAATTAATTGTAAAACATTAAAGTATCCCTACTAGACCACCGTTAATCCAATTCGACCTGAATTTGAAGAAGACTTCCAAATTTTTGTACAATTTCGATATAGCTCCGTACTTTCATTTGCGCGACAATAGATTGCGCTCAACTTCAGCTTTTGGCTTATTTGCACAGCGTGAAGGTTCGGATTTGGGCCAGCAAATGAAACTATTAGAACTGGAATCGACTTTAAGAGGTCGGTTCCAGAACTAAGAGGGACAGGCAGCGAAATGCTGGCGTTGCTACACCACCGCAAATCGCCACTTTCGGAGAGAAAAGCTTCGTCCCATAAAATGTCTCGTTCTCGTCCTAAAATAATTGAATTTCAATTATTATATTTAACTTTCAAGATACCTTACCATTTAATAAATAAAAGTATTTTTCAAACTCGTCTCGAGTGGAAGCTACTGGAAGAGCGCCATGAGAACTGCACCGTCTAAATCCAGTATATATGTTTATCTGAAATTGAACATTTTTTATTAGGTAAGAATTGAAACATTTAAAACAAATAAGAAATTATATTATCCTTAAAGATGGGTTGTTTTAGTAAAATCACCCCAAAGAAGAAAAACGGGGTTTTTTTACATTGAAAAGATATTTCAGTTTTTTAAACGAGTGGGAAATTTAGATCAAAACTTTAAAAACGATATATATATATTTTTTTTTATGGCACAGAAGTATCAATTAAATTTGATAAACACAAGGCAAACTTTGCAGGACTGGAATTGAAAATCCCTCTTTTAAAATCATTGATTATAAAATTAAATTACGTCTCCAAAAAGTATGGGTGTAACAGTCATGAATGGTGCCGTTGCGTTGTTTATGCTCAATTGGCCTATGTTCAGTTGATTCAATTCATTAGTGATTAATCGATTAATTATACAAATGATTAGACTGGGAAAAAAATACATATACACTCTTTCTCTCTCTCTGTTAACTATATCTGTTTGCATATAATTTAATTTTTGAAACCAATCTCCAGTACTTTTCAACAAATTTTTCCTTCTCTCTTGTTAAAGATATCTTAAAAGGTATATATCATTGAAAATTTAAAGCTTAGAAGCTGCCATGAAAAAACTTTAGAAGTGTAAAATTTGAAACAGTGATTATAATTGTCATTATCGATGCTTTCTAAATCAATACAATTAACCACATAGAAACACATTTGACTAATAAGAGAAAAAGAGAGAACCTTTTGTTTCAATAAATCATATGAAAATCTAGTTGGACCATAAAAAAACGAAGCTTAGGAAATAATACTGAACTTTTTGTCTATGCAATGAGCAATTTGAATTCAAATTCATAAAAGAAGCTAATAAATTCTTTCTCAAAATTATAAATTTTCAAATGAGTCTACAATGTCTACATCAAGCTAAAAAAAATCGAAAATCTTAATTTTTTTTCCAGTCTTATTACGCTTAAAAAATATAATACAAACCACATTGTTCCTCTGAGGTTGGTGCACGTTTAATTATATGAAAATTGGAGCACGGGGATGTGAGTAATGCCTCATTTATCAATGTGACCACAGCTTCACCATAACTCCCTATAAATTGTTTGATGGTCGTTTGAACTTTCAATGGCTTCAAAGTTATATTTAAATTCCAGAATGCATCCAAATATTTGGACCCATTTGTCAAGCAGGCGAGAAATTCGTATGCAAAGAGACATTCGTCTTGTTCTGGAACTTTTCATTTTTAGTAAAACCTTAGAAGTATGAAAATTTTCCACTCTACCCAATGATTTGCATTTTACGAATCGGGAACGCAACTCTTCTTTCACGCTATCCTCATAATTCTTTTCGGTTTTTTGTATTAAATTTATGACTAAACTCAAAAGTTGCCAGTCCTGAACATTAGTTGCAACGCTCATGATGTCGCTGTCGGCATCATATTTTTTGCTGTTTGTGTTCAAGTAGTAGTTAGGAATTTTGTCTATAAAACAAATTAACACATTTGTACACTCTTATTTTGTTATGGGATTTAAAATTAAAACGCTTACTTCGGTCTAGAACAAAAGTATCCTTGTGCACTAATCTACTTATGAACTTCATGATGTTGTCCATTTGTAACTTATTGCCGTCGTATGTCTACAATTTTGGACAAGAAAACTGTTATGTTTTAAGATTTCCAAAGACATTTTGATACTTATAAATCGCTTCAAAATTGTTAATGAAGTTCAATATTTGGGGTCGTGCATTGGGGTAATCGAAATAAAAATAGTGGGAGACTAGACTAATAACTAATAACGACTTTTGTCAGATATTTTGTTATCAGCACCCCGAATATGGGAGGATCCGAGTTATCGGCCCTTGCGATTTAGCAGGCACATGTCTGCTAACGCTGGTGCCTTCCCCAAGAGGGATAAACAATTAAAAAAATTAAAATGAACTTTATATTTTCTTTTTTAGCTAAGAACTTGTGTATTTATCATAACTAAAAAACATCTCAAAATACTCACTGTGGATAGTATCTTAGCAACGCAAGAAAAGTGGCACTGCACATTAATAATTCAAGTTAAAAAGTAAATCATAAGTAAATAAAAATCTACCTTCATTTTATAGGAATATCGTTCTAGAGGGGTGTTTTTCATGTTCTTAATTTCACCTAATTATTGAAGAAATTTCTTATCACAATTTTTTGTCAAAACATTTTATGTAGTTAACGTTTGCCTAGACGACTCACTGCCATGCACTCGTCTACAACACTTTGTAGATAATCTCTGTCACTTCTGCCCTAAAAATAGATTTAGACATTGATTAAACTGTAATTAATTTTTTTCTAACTCACTTCACATATAAATTTTAATTCTTCTCCACAAGATTTGGTTCCAATCAGTGGGCCTGTGGAAAATGTTGATATTAGATGGGCTTTAGAAAAATGGAAGATTCTTTAATTTTAGTTATCAAGAAAGAAACCTGAAAATTTGATGTTATTAAAAAAAACTTTTACCCCTAAAGTCGTCGTTTGTGACAAATATGCAAGAATTGTTAATTTTAGGATGGCCCTTTAGCCAAAGCAAATCAGGCCTTAGAAAATCTTGGCCTTCGCTGGAGCACCATCTTTAATTGAAGAAAAAGTTTTATAAGCATATTTTTTATCGTTCTCACAAAAACCTGAATTTTCCTGGACAGGGTTCATCAGTCGCCGCAGTCCAGTACATTTCATTTGTGGCTACAATTATTATCTTTAAATAAATAAAACATATCAACTTCTTTAATTATATCACAGTTTTCTAGTGTGCTAGTCAAACACAACTCTTTGTCGTAGGAGTAAATGACTAAAAGCCTCATTCCAAGACGACAGCAATAATAATTAGCCTCACTCCAATTAGCCTATTTCAAAATATTACAAAACGATGGGATGATACAAAGTAAATTGAAATACTTTTATTTTAGGAATCAGGTGGAATACGTTGCAAGATTTCTTCCAAGTTCCTAGTAAAGACGGCCCTTTGTAGAAAAAAAATTAGAGTCCATTTCATTACATGATTTAGATCAGAAACTTGCTATCGCCCAAAACGTTTCGTTCATAAAAACCAATCTTTGCAACTAAAAATTAAAATATCATAAGCGAAAGATCTTTAGTTGGAAAGATAATTACGTCTGCGTCGCACATGGTTATGTTGCATACAGGATTGGTGCAAAAATCATTGTCAAACTCGCTCTAAATCATGAAAATGAACACAATTTAAAAAAATTCAAAATTCATCAATTGAGTTAATGTTAACTCGGGTAAGTTTTAATTTCAGAATATTGATTTAAAACGATTTAAAAAAATGTATTAAGGCTTAGCCATGGAGAATGGAGTGGGAGATTTGCGTCATTTTAATTGTTACTTAATTTTGAGACTAGAATTTAATAAATACACTGTAAAGATACCTTATACTAAAATGTTTCTAATAAGTTAAATATTACAATATTTTAAAGTAAAAAGCGAGCCTGAAATTCATTTTTGGGATGACAGCGGCAACACAAAGTCTTGAACTTAGTGAAATTTTCATGACATTTTAAATTCAATTTACAAACTTCAGGTTGTTAGATTAATCATCACTAACAAATAATGTTTCAAAGGAACTTCATAAATTCTAATTAACAAGGAAATAAATAGACAACAAAACCGGGCTGCTTTGATCAGATAAACTTGTTGAGGCATATCTTTTACCTCATATTTTGGTACGTAACCTAAGACATCGACCACACTTGCGTTATCCCTCTGGCAAGCGAAATTGACATATTTGGATAGGCAAGGGATTTGACGCACACGGTATGCATCGGCGTTGTCCTGTTGCTCTAAAGCAAGGCAAGAGCCTGAGTCGCTGTAGTCAACGGACGTCCAGAATTCTTCATATGAATCCCACGGACCCATATTTTCATGGAAGCAAAACTTGTAGTGGCCAAAGCAGCCAAGCCGAGTGCCCGCGGTCCAAAAGTAGGGTCGCAAATCCAAAACTGATTTGATATTCCCTGTGGATTTTTCCATTATAATATATTTGTCCAAATTGAAAAATAATTGTTAATTTTTATGAGTGAAATATTGAATTGTTGCATAGAACTGCACCAACGCTAGCAAATATTTTACTATCTGAGATCAAAATCCTTTATTTGTAAATTACAGAAAATAATACCTTTTGAATAAATAGCAAACAATCTTCTGTCATTCAATTTTAAAAGCATATCATAGGTGGGCTTTATGGGTTTCATTCCTAGTCTGCAGCACATGTTGAAATTTTGAAACCAATTCATCTAAACTCACTTATTAGTTTCAAATAATTATAAACACATGCCAAAAACCTTCTTATTTCCAAGTAAATAGGTTACATTAATTCCCTGGTAAACTTGTAACCAAACTCCAAAGGATTCCCCGTCTAAAATTATAATATCACTGTAAAATTATATAATTTTATATTCTTAAATAAATTCATACTTTTCAGTTTGTTTCCCTTATCAAATAGAAGTTCCTGAAAAATTCTTTTTATTTTTATTTCAATTAAAAAATCATGAATTACATCTCGAGAGCAATTCAATTTGGCTGGACAAAGCACGGAACTGCAAATATACTTAAAAATAAAAAGTTAATGAATTGTTTTGATACGTTCTATAATTTATAAACCTCGCAATAAAATGGAATTTTTGCCATGCAACTGCGCCTAATTAGTTTTTCAGAACGTTTGTTGAATGCCAAACAATTATCGCTGGAAGTGTCATTTTGCAATCCGAACTGAGTTTTGTCAATAGCCTGCTCGTTTTTCGAGCACCAAGAGTATGTAGCTCTTTTGCAAAACTTTTCTTCAGCCATGCCACTCGTCCAAATTTCACCTATATTTGCTGTATCTAAAAATGCATAATAAGAATGAACAGCTAGGTTTATCATCATAATTTTTACCTAAAACTTTAAATTTAGAATTGTATATCATTTTTTTGAATTCGGCCACGCAGGCCTGGTGCTTCGTTCCTTCGTTAATAGAAACCAAGTGCATTCTCCTCAGAGTGCACGCAGCAACTGCTTCTTTATAACTAACCTTGATGTTTTAAGTAAAATTAAGATTTCATTTTGTAATAAAGAATTTTCTCAAACAGGAACAAAACCGGCGTAGTACAAATGCCCACACTGGAAAAAGTATTTGCCTGGCATTTTGGTCCTGTCCTTGGCATAAGACGATAAAACGGCTTTTTTATAATTTTAAATTGGAGAATAAATTTAATAAGTAATAAATATTCATACTTTCCGATCCAGAAATGAATTCTAAATTGAAATTTATATCACTGATATGGTATTTATTTTAAAATAAAGACAAAAACCTTCTGGTTCAGTGAAATCTAAAACTTCCTGCAGACTTTTAGTACACTTCAACTCGTTTAAAATAATTTATATATATGCAAACCTTTCGAGTGTTGCGATAAAGCCGACAGTTGACAACGCAACCGTCAAATTTGGCATATTTTGAGAGAGAACACTGTATAAATATAAATTTTTGAAACTCAAATGTTCATTATTAAACTGAATTTGAGAAAAATGTGGGAAATGAATAAGAAAATATCCATGAATAATTATAATTATATCTGTTTCATAAATACAAAATGGGGAAAATTGATAATTGATAAAAGGAATAGAAAGATTAAAATTGTGTTACAATATACACTTTAGTAGAACACGTTGATTTAAATTTTAAAATCGTTTATATTTTAATATTTTCACCCAAAATCCGTTGAAAGCTCTGCTTTTTCAAATTTAATAGATAAAATAACCCAAATTCATCCAAATTGTATAGGATAAAGCTTATTAAAATTAAAAAAAGAACAAACCAAAAGGAAAAAAATATTTATATAAAATATTTTATTTGGACAAGCTTTTTTTACTAAATTTAAGGATTTAACTAAGATGACGCCTATATTTTTGGGAATTTGACGAAGTAAATTATTTTCTCGCAAAATTACCTGAAGGAACGCTAAAAAGTAGATCGATATGAGACCAGGCAGTATTTTGATTATTTTCATGTTGGCAAAAGCGCTCACAGGACCAACTCGACTAAAATCATTATTTTTAATTTGGCAAATGATGGATGCAAATGTTAATTAAAAATTCAGGTGCTATCAGATGCCAACTACCGCTTCCTTTCCAGTAATTAATTTTCAAATTTTATCAGAATTGTATGATTCGACGCATGAGTTTTTTTAGGATTACTAATTACGTCAAGCGCCTCGTGCCTGATAATAAAATATTAAAATAGCATCTTGTGCATTTGGTAACGAGTGCCACTTTACGTTTTACAGAGGAGGTAAAGAGTCGCGAGGAGAAGGCTTCAAGAAGCCAGTGTGAACTGAGGAGGGTGCTTGAGGGCCTCGCCGTCCAGCTCAGCTCGCCGGCGAGATTCGTCGAGGCCCAGGAAGAAAGCATTCGAGAGCGAATCAGGGAATTGCAACACGAGTGCAAAGAGAGGAGCATTGTAAGTGCAAATTTAATATTATACAATTCTCTAATTTTTATCATAAATTGTATTAAATAGTTCAAATAACAAAACCTCAGTGGCTTTTTTTAACATGTAAATTTTATGCATTAAAAATACTAGAAAACCCTCAATCTTTAACTTTAAGTAAAACGCAAACTATGAACATAATATTTTTTTACACGCACAACTTATTAAACAAATTAATCCTTTTTTCAATAAAAATGTTTTCTTTCCATTTTAACATAAATGACTTACTTTACTGTTTCAAAACCTAGGATACATAACATAAGCATATTTAGGCTTTATTTACTCAGTGTTAAAACAATATTAATAAAAAAAACTTCACTACCAATTTCGGTCACTGTCATAATGTGGAAAATAAAATATAGATGGAAAGAATTAAATTAAAATAATTATCTTAAAACTCTATTTACAAATTCAAGTATCACCTATTTGATGATTGCAATTGGTTTTTGTATTAAAAATGATAAAAATATCCCCTTTTCCGCTTACTTATTTTCTTCTCTTGAAACTCAAATTAATCATTCAATATTTTTAAAAACTAAAAGAACTGAATATGAAATTCATTTTTTAATTTCATTTGAATATTTTTCCAAAATAATCATTTCTACGCTTCTCCTTTTTCCAAATTTCTAGAACGAGCAAAAATTTGGTCGACCAATAAAACAGTTTCACTGATTTTGTGAGTTGGTAGAGACTTTTTTGTCTCGTCACAATTCTGTCTCTGCTCGCTTTCTTTTTTAAGAGTTCTGACCCAATTAACCCCTTCCGTGATTTTGTCCCGCAGCAAACGGAGTCGTTGCGTGAGAAGGCCAACTTAAGCAGCCACCAACTGAGTCGTGCTCTAGAGCAGGGCGACGTGTCTACTTGCAGGGTGCACGTCCTGGAGGACGACAAGGCCAGTCTCGAGTCGCGGCTCTCCAAAGTGGAGGCGGAACTAACGTCGGCCGAGGTGGCCAGGGACGCGCTCCGGCGAGACAAAAGCATCGTAAGTGCCGCAGAAAACGCGACCTCCCTTTCTTTCTTTCTCCCTCTTCCCACCGGATTAATCTTTGCAAACGCGCTTTTCCTCTTTCTCTCTATACATTGTCTCAAGATTCTCCTCTCCACTCGGGGCTTTAATTGCGAGAGACCGCTTCGGTGAAATTGAGTGTGTCAATCGACAGCCGGGAAATAATGAGAAAACGAAGTCTATTGTCTTGAGAATCCCTTTCACCCGAACTTTCCTTTTGTGTTGTGGGTGCTGCGCGCTTGATTGCCTCTCTATTAGAAAAGTGACGTTTAATTACATATAAGATATATAATATACCCTATAAAGAAGACAATCCTGAGATTTCTGAAATATTTGCAGCACGTTTGCAGTGCATATACTTAAACAATTTGACAGACTTGTGATTAAATAATTCTGTAAGGATGAGGCTTTTTTTATTTTTGCTTATTAATTTAAAATTTGTAATTCAATATTGTGTTTGTTACCACAAGACAATCTGTGCCTTTAATATGAGTATCATTGTCAGATTATAATCAAACAAAAACAAAATGAAAAAGTAAAGATGGGGGAAACAGGTACTGATTTTGACGACGACGGTTTTGGAAAGAATCAGTGTATAAAGTAGACCAATTAAAAACACTTTGTTTTGTCAATAAAAAATAAATTTTTATTATTGTTTAAAAATTATTTGGTATTTTATGAATTCCTCCGAAAAATAAATTAAATATATTTTAGCGTGACTATATTTAAATCATTTATTAAAAGTTACAATGAATGTTTTTCAATTTTAATAAATTATAAAAATTTTTTTTTTATACATTTTATGAGGGAATTTTATGTACGAAGTCATATTTTCTCGAATCAGAAACCGGCTTGGTAACGTATTGATTTATATTGTATCCATGAAAAGTACATATTTTCATATATCTGTCTGAATTTGCACAGTGGAACGGGATTAATTTATTCCTTGGCTACTTATTATATGATTATAGTTTTACTAATTTAAAATTTATTAACCAACTAAAACTGCTTTAAAAATTTTAAAGAAACTTTATCTCATCTCTAAAAAGTCTCAAAATGGGCAAACATTAAAAAAAACTCATTTTTTCTGGCAAGGCAAGGCATTAATAAAAAACGCCAAACTTATTAAAAGTAACTAACAAAGCATAGAATTCAGAAGCCCTCCTTTTCACTGCCGCTTATTCAGCAATTAACCAGGCCATTTCACAAAGAAAGAGTTTTGCTCTGCGGCGCAAGTCAGGCCAACCAATTCACAACTCTTGAGGGAGCGCGAGAGATAAAGCAGAGGGCAAACTTTTTTACACGGAGCATTTCCATCTTGATTAAATTTCGCGGCCACTTGGACTCGTCCTCTTTTCATCCATCCTTTTCCTTTCCCGCTTCCATTAAGACTAATTTCTCCCTCTTATAATTTCATTTGGTAATTGTCATTTGTCCTCATCAAAAAATTTCACACTAATTAACGCGTCAGTTCTTCTTCTTCTTTTTTATTCACACAAAAGAAGTGTTGAAGATGATGGAGCTTACTCTCTTACTTTCGGAAACGGAAAGTAATTAGTTCTTTTGGGCAAATTTCAAATTCAATTCAACCGAGTGAAGAGCTTTTTATAATCCACCTCGGTGAAATTAATGACAACAAGAAGGAGAGAATTTCCATTCACAAAGAATCCGAAGAATAAAATATTAATCTCGCCTCTCTCCTTCTTTCTCCCTCCCTTTCTCTTCGCCAAAATGTTTAGCGCAAAATTGCAAACCGCTTTTATGCTCTGGGCTTTTATTGCTCGAAATATTACATGTATAGCGACGGGCATGCAAATTTTGTGGCTTCACTCTATTCCACGGCACAATGCCAATGGAAAAATTGCCGCGTTTATCGGTGGGGCTGAATGGAACGGAACAATGCACTCCACGAAATGGTCCCTCCTTGCTCCACAAGGTTTTTATTTCAGCTCACGTTTATGAACCAATCCGCCTTGTGCGGTTTTATTGCGGACAAAGCATTTTCAGAGGAGAAGCCAAAAGCTTTTTATTGGGCATATTTTTTAAGTAATAGACGTATACTCTGTTAAAATGAGAAGAATATTAAAAATTTTGTACAGAATTTCTAAATTTTTAAATTTATTTTTAAGAGTTAAGCATGTTCTAACAAACGAAAGAGTGATTTTTTTTATGTACTATAGTTTATGCATATTATGCAACACTAGTTATTATTATTAATTTATAAAGACGGCCATTATTCTGTGTAGTAAGTATTGATCAATTATCAATCTTAATTTGAATGAACTAAGAAAATAAAAATTAACAAAATTCTTTTCATGTTGCACAATTTTACTAAATTTGCATTAAAATTCATGGGATGACATTTATAAAAACTGAATAAAGAAAACGAAATAGAAACAAGACAAAATAGTTTAAAAAAATATTCTCTCTATTTTTATTCCGGTTTTTTGTTGATTTAGTCGTAATCGAAAAAAGAAAAATACAGTGAAAAGCAAAAAACCTGTTGTTGCAACACACTCTGTAAATCGTATCAAGCGTTTTCCCACATGAAGCGATATTTCTATCCAAACACACACTTTATATATTTTTTTCCATTTCGGACCGGTGGAGAGCTGTGACGACAAACATTCATGCCGTTTCCAATAAAAAGCAGCGTTGCCGGAAGAGACGCGTGTGCGTTTCGCAAAAGCGTTGCCCTCAAAAGCCACCTGGGGCTTCTGACCCAACACACAAAGCATACATTTATTCACTACCCGTTGGTTTAACCCTCCTTGGCAAACCTTGTACCGCTGTGTTTATCTCCATTCATATTCTTTTTGCAGTACCTGGGCTTTTTGGAGAGACTTGGCCGCGCGTTGAATATGGATGAAATTTCAAAGGACGTCGGCGTGGACCTGCACACAGACAGTCTGCTCGCCAGGGCCGAGCAACTCGCCAGATTGGAAAGCGACAAGTTGGTCGACAAGGTAATTTACCTCAACGCTGGCATATATCTAAGCCCAGTACGATTCGAGGTTAAAATTAGTAATTAGCAATTCTGAAATTATTATTGAAATTTAAGGATTGGAGGAGGTAGAGATAATTTTTATTTGACACTGTTTGACACTTCTTTACTTTTCATTCTCTTTAAATTTGAGCCTTTTCAGGAAAATGAACTCAAATTACCAGCTAGAAATTTAAGTAAGATAGTTTTTTTTTAATTGTTTATCAATTGTTATTTAAATAATTTTGAATTTCATATTACTTTCTGTATTATTATGAAAAATTTCTTCCTTCAAAATATTTAAAAAAAATATTTTATATCAGTATCATAGAAATATTTTTCAATGTCCTTTGGGTTCTAATTTTTGTGTATAAACCTACTTTTATCGATGCTTTTGTAAAAATTTACAATTTGGAAAATTCTTTCATTAGACACTGTCAGCAGTGGTCAACAAACGGTATTCGGATTCAAAATATGCACACCACCGGTGTCACGTTATTCATGTTGCCAAATTTGCAACTTGCGGGATCCCCTTTATTAGCAGCGTTTATGCAACCTGTTAAGCAGCACAGGAGATGAAAATCGATCGCTCGCTTTCCTTTCCAAAAGCAGCTGCGTCCCGAATGCTCTTTTACAAAACTTCTTTTGCGTTGCTCCTCGGGCCGAAATGAAATATTTTGACGTGAATGGCTTTGTTTTGGTGAGCACCTGCTAGGAACGGGGAATAGTGCCAGGTGGTCCAAACACTGCGTGGTCGCTCTCATGATGCATATTATGCAAATATTGTTGTGTTTGGGTGCACGCGCCAGTCTCCTCCACCGACGTACTAAAATGCTGAGCCTGGCACATGGCTTCTAGCAAACCAAAATGTGGGTCACAGTCGTTCAAATTTACGATCAGTCTACTAATTCTCTGTAATTAGTCTCTTCTATATAGAGACCATCAAGAACCGATCAAAACCATATAATTATCAATTATCATACGACTATTTTGTTTACTGAAGTAATTGAGGAAGGGTGATTCCTTGCAATTTAAAAATCCTCTTTTTAGTTTTAAGTAACATATTTTATTAACGGTACACATTATTTCAAGGTAAATATTTAATCTTTCCTGATTTTGAAAAGCCAGCAAACTGTCAAATTCACTGCATATACACCAGTTTGCTTTTATTTAATGTTTGAAAATGAACCGCCAAAAAGTCAATATTTAGCTGTTGCAAATACACAAAATCTGAACGCACAAAACTCACTGAACTGGAGCTTGGCTACCTTTCATAGAAAGCGAAATAATTAATTCAGCACCAAGCACTTTTTTCCCAAAAACCTCGACTTTTGCCAGCAGCTGACAAATTATTAATTTCTCCTCTCTTAATTGAGCCCGTGGTTTTGAATTGTGTGTGTAGCTGTTGCTGACAGATTACGCGGCCCGTCTACGCAGAGAAAAACTGTACAACGAAGTGATCCCTCTTACCGAAGTAAGCAAACAACCCTTCTGGCTTCTGAATCATTTCACGACAAAAACACAACTCATTAGTTTCATTTCATAGCGCGCCAATTTAATAAAATATTCAGTAATTCATATACTTCTTTAAAAAATATTTATCAAGATACATATTTTAATTTCATAATATTTTATTATATTTATTAGCTTCTTCAATATATTACACATTCTAATAACGTACACATTTCATGTTTGACTGCGATGCAGTTTTTTTATCTCATAATATGTAGAGAAAATTGCTTGGTGCTCGAGTTTCGTCACGTCAGCATGTTGTAATGAGCTTATGATGCATCGGAATTGCGGCCAGTAATCGAAAATCAATGAGTGGCTCTGTCACACGATTAAAGTTAGAGCAGCTGCGGCACCCAAGGGTTATTTGCGTGTGCCATAAATAGTTTGCCCGCCTACACAACTTGTTCTAAGTGTCCAAAGCAGACTCTTCTGCTCATTCTCAATCACTCAATACTTCCTCATGTCACAAATAACGAGAATCTAGTTGTAATATTTTGTCCACGATTAAGATATTAATAAGAATTATCCAATGTATCTATCCACATAGATATATCTGAAATAATAATATAAATATTGAATTTGAATAATTTTCAAAAAAAAATTAGGTGTTTTCGAGACTTCTGAATTTTATGATTATCAGTTTTCCGTTATGTACATTCTAAATTTTTTTTCTTGCTGTAAATTATTATTCCATAATAAAGCACTGGGTTCCCCCTCGTATTAATTATTGAGATATTGAAAAATTGGAGAATAGGGGAAATTAACCTCCACACACCACACAATAGCATGCTTTAAATAAAAAATTCACACGAAGCCTTTTTATTTTGTTATTGTAAATTTTTTAATCATCTTGAATTTCCACTGAAAATTAAATCAGTATCAGTAATGCCAATTTAAGTGCCTTTATTGTCAGCAGAAATGTTTATCAGATGTAAAGCCAATACACTGCAATGCCTTTGGTTTTCATTTGAAATTATTTAAATTCTTAGCCACTCAAAAAGCAATTAATTCTAACTCATTTGCACTCACGTGTTTTGTCACTCGTCGTGGGCGGAAATTTTTTGGTGTTGAAACTGTTCATATGTTGAAAGCTTTTCTATTTAAAATGTGGATAGTGCTGAGTCCTAAGTTGTCGCCAAGTTGGTATGTAATCAGCCCGCGATTGCAAACTTTTCAGACGGCTGCCGTTTATCAGCTGCAAAGACGCGTGCGAACGTTGAGGGAGCAACTGCAACGCCGGGATTTGCATCTGGACCTGCTGAGGCGGAAAATCAACTTGCAGGAAGATAACTCCCGGATTAGAAACTTGTTAGAAGGCGAAAGAGATGAAGCAAATATAAGGTAAGATAGTGATAAACTATTATTAAAATAGTGATTTGAAATTAAAATCGGCTTTTCCTCGATGGGTTTTTGTGAGTTGTTTATTGTTTCAGAAAAAACAATATCCTGCTCTACATGTTTCGGCTGCGGGCTGCAGCCATAATTCATGAGCTGCGAAACATGTAGAGCAGGATATTGTTTTTTCTGAAACAATAAACAACTCACAAAAACCCATCGAGGAAAAGCCGATTTTAAATTCAAATCACCATGAATCAACCCTCGATTGTGAAATTCTACCACAATATTATTAAAATGTTTAAAATATTTTATTATACAATATATTTTGAAGCAAAATTTAATCATTTATTATATATAATTTAAATACATAATGATTTAAACTTTGTTTACTTTAAATAGAATAATTTAGATTTATTTTCAACTTTATTAATTATAGTACACGATTGTATTAAAAGTACGTAATCAAATTACTGAGCATATTTTAAATTACAAATTTATTTTGCCATAATAGCCTATAATTATGTACGTTTGAAAAATCTTTTGGCTTAGTTGATGTTCTTTTGTGTAAAGATGTGATTTATATAAACTTGGACAAGGAAGGAAAAAAATAGCGCGCATCATCTGATTTAAAAAAAAAAAAAAAACTATATAATAATTGCTCTCTCTAATCCGCTCCTTTTTGTCTTTCACGCTCAATCTCCTTCGCAAGCACTCAGCTCACGATCCTTCTTCAGCTTAGAGCTTCTCTCTTTAATTAGATTATCGCAGAGAGCTTCAACCATCCCATTGTTTTCCCTATGGATGACTGAGCAATCAAGTTTGGTCTAAACCCGATTTTTGTTCTGGGAAATAATCCTCGCATTATTATTTTATATTCGCGGCATAGATTTATTATGCCTCTCAATATTTAGGGCGAATAAGATAGTAAAGGGGGTTACGAGCTTTGCGACTTGTTAGCGAATTTCTCAACGAGGTGACGTAAAAAGTGCGTGCACGCGCGATATAGATTTTATGGCGTTGCCAACACATGAAAGAACTCTCAGAACGCAGTGATCTGCTTATTGAGTGCGTTCAATTATGGATGATTAATAGGGTGAAGAAGATGCTGAAGCAGATTGACAGACTGCAACTCCAACTGGCTGAATCCAGGGCGCAGGTCAGGGACCTCAAGAGTCAACTCGCTGATGCAACAGATTACAAGGCAAGATCTGCGTAGTTTTAAAACTTAATTTTTATTTATACTATATTGTGCGAATTATTTGAAACGCTTTCCCGGCAAAGACGAAGTCCCTGAATAGTACGAAATAATTTAAAACTCGAGCTTAAGAAAGATATAATATAGTTGTATATGTTTATTTTTAACATAATATTTAATAATAGCACCAAAATTAAATGTCCTATGACCTATGACTCACTAGTCATTTCAAATTTTCCTTGATATTGTATTATTTGTAATAAATATAATTACGGTAAATATATTCTGTTAGATATAATATTAAAAAAATTAATAATTGCAACATAAAAGATCATAAATCTTCTAAACAATAGAAAATTTCAACCTGAATTACTATAAAAAGATGGCAATGTCGGCAAAAATTTATGATACATTTCATGATAACTATGCTACAAATAAATATATAATTTATTGAGTTTCTTTTTAGATATCTGCACTTGAACGTGGAAGGAAAATTGAAGAGTTGGAGAAACGACTCTCGGATTCGGAATTGCTGAGGACGAGATACAGCAGAAAAGTAGCCCTACTGAAGGATCAGGTCAGTCTGGATTTTGCTCAAACTAGATTCCAGCGGTTTTGATTATCAAAGTTTTTACTGCTGCTCGAGTGAATTGCGGTGGAGGGCTCATCAAAACGCTGTCCGCTGGAAACATGGGAATTGAGTTCGAGTTGGCATCGTTTAAAACCGACCGCAGAGATTGCAATTTGTAATTACGTGCACCGTTTACGCTTCCGGCACTACTCGTCTGGCCAGTGTGGCAAACGCGACGAGTTTTAACGATGAAAACTTTTCCTCATTTTCCGCGCAGAGACAGATAATATATATGATGATACATATTTGTAGCACTCAAAGCCCAGATTTTTACGCTTCCAAATGCTCTTGAAAAACATTGGCGACACGGTGTATACTAATTCCGGGAAAATATTATAATGGAGATAATAATAAAAATGGTGATTATAATAATTCCAGGTACGGAACGTGGGGCAAAGTGTTGTGGAGGAGCGAAGTGCTCACGGTCATGACGTCCAAATCCTGAGAGAGGACCTTGCAGCTGCCAAACAGAATTTGGATGAAACGCAAAAAAGAGAGAATCAAGTAAATGTTATTCTTACTTTAGATTTAATTTTTTTTTATGATGGATAGTTTATTTTTTTATATCAATTACCTTGTTAGTTACATACAAACTTGATAGAAAAATTTTAATAAAGATAATTGAAGGCAAAATAATTTACACAATTATAGATATTTTTATAAAATTGATCAATGATCTCTTTTTTTGACAATATTAATAGGTATTTAGTTTAACAAACATCAAATATCCATTTATTTCCTGCCATATGGCAAGCCTTTTAAACGCATTTTAAAAATAGTTTATTCAAGATAAGATTAAAAAAAAAAAATGAATTTTTAATCAATGCAAATTAAAAGTTTTTTGAAAATTTCAATTTATTATTTTGTTCAATGAAAGTTTTTAGATATAAGCAATTGAAAGTTTCTGCTTTTTTCTGTATAGTTGTTGAGCCTGAGAGCGACCGTGGGCCGCCTCCTGGGTGTCGACCCGGCACGCAGCCCTGTCCCTGACTACGACATCGTGAGTCGTCTCCAAAAATTGGTGCACGCACAACGGGAATTCGCGAATGTGTCGCGCCGATACGAAGACCCCCTGCGACTCCTGCCGCCGAGTCCGAGGCGCTCGGCCACCCCCGGTGCCGCCGACCTGCTCCTCCGCACCCCCGACAGTCGTGCCCTCAGATACGACGACTCGGGGTATATCGACCTGCCCGACCTGAGTCCCTTGAGCGAATTGGACGACGTCAACGGCGTCTACAATAAGAGGCCGCTCATGAGACCCTCCACGTGACTACCGACCAATTTTTAAATTTCTATCGCAAAATGAATTGCAATTTCTAGGTTTACAAAAACTGTGACGCAGTGCATCAAAAAATCACAGACTAACAGTCAGTCTGTGTAAAAAAATATTCTAGATTGTGTATCGGACAAAAAAATATTCCTGTTTGGTTAGCGAAATATTGCCAGGCCGGTAAAGAATAAAAAAGAATTTTCCTATTTGATAAAAACTATTTGAAAATTACAAAATTTACATATATTAACTTTTCGGTCCATTAATTCTAATTATTTTTGAACAATCCAATATTGAAAATAACATCAAAATATAACTGATAAAAATTACGATAGTAATTAGTTGAACCCCCGTCTGCCCCGTCTATTTATTATTATTAACTACAAAAGTGAAAAACTTATTTCTTTGTTGAAATTCTTTTAATTTTATAATCTTATTCCATCTGGTTTCATTTATTCACAATCAAATAACTTGCGCCTGACCTTTTTTATAAAATAGTATGTAATAATTTGAATGTTTTATGCCGCAGAAGAAAGAAACAACTAATTATAATTTTTTTTATATATATAAGATATGAAACATAAAATTTTAAATTAGACCATGCTATACCAAGGCCTATTTATTTTTAAAGAATTACTTCCAGGTTTGAAACTATGTAAAAGAAATTTCAATTTATACCATGACATAAAATAAAAGGATGTAATTTTTCAATTAAGCGATTTAAGCTATAATTAATTTCTCATAATATCTGTATGCTTTCATACAGTGTGTAATATTAATTTAATACCAAAGCAATCAACAATTCCCTTTATGGCCTTTATTGTGATTACTGTTTATGATTGTTAATCAGCATTTCAATACAACGAGAACCAGAGTCAAATTAAAAAATTCACTTCCATCAACTCGTCGGTAATTGATGTCATTTTAACCAAAGAATAAAATAATGCAAATTGCACACTGCCTGTTAATGTATGTGAAATAGATGAATGTTGTTGTCTCTCATCTCTTCATTATTGCATCGAGTGGTAACTAGAGCGCACACACATTAATCGCGAGGGCATGTATGCTCGCCTCATTGCTGATATGTTATGAATGCAATTAACTGCAAACTCGGCAGATTTTCCTCACGGGTGAAAATTAATGCACTCTGCTCTCTTCCGTATGCATAATATTCTGTTCGTTTGAGAGAGCAGCGCGCATATATTGAGCTCGTTTAAGTGCTCAGCTCACGTTTGCTGTTGGTGCCTGACAATGAGATAAATATAATTAGTGATGAGAAATGTTTAATTAATTACGAAGTTAATTGCGATGCTTTGTGCTATTCTTGGCATCAAAAACTTTGTAATTCTATTGTAAAGTGTAATGAATTATCATATATATTATATTAATAAGGTTGAGTTTCATAAAATATTGACTCTCTTATAATCGGAGGAGTTTTAGAATTTTGTTTAGAATTTACACGACATAAAGTTAAACTTCTGATTTTCAAGAATATTCTGTTGTGTTAAAGTAATACGAGCTATTATGTTTCCTGCGTTTAATAAAAATGTTGATGTTTCATTTGAGATGAAATGTAAAAACGTTTTGCATTATCGTGGATCAAAATGTGATGGGACTCAATGTATGGTGATTAATAAATCATGTTCAAGTTAGAAAAGATCAAAAATTGTGTCATTTCAAAATGTCAATTAAAAACAAGAAAGGAAAAATAAAATTAAACCAAAATCATTTCATTCTATAGGACTAAAAAAATGGTCATTTTAAATCAAGGACTCTTTATTATTGTATGCTTATTTTTATGGGTTAGCAAAATTATAAAATTAATCATATATACAGCTCCAATGAGTTTTGTATTATTTCATTCGCGTTGTGATTTTTTGATCTCATTTGTATCTTCAATATTCAAATCTACATATAAATTTATAAAAAATTAAAATTAAATATACATATAATATACCGACGTTCATACGATTGATGTCTGTATATTGTCTGTATACGTGCTGGTCTGTGAAATACAATAGTAATTCAACCTAAATTTTACTGATAATATATAGCGGGAGCCAGCGGGAGCTGCTGCCATCTGTAGAGCTATTTGGAACTAGATTGCTCCAACCTCCCACAAAAGTGAAACACGCCGGATTGTTTACTTTTTAGCCGCTCTTTTTGGACGTGCAATTTTTCGCTAGTCTTACGAATATTTCGCATTTATTTGTGTGCGTTGTGCTGCCAATTTTTTTAATAATCAACAATGGCGGAGATTCCTTCAGGTCGAGAAATGTACCACATGCACAACTCGCTGATTTGCCTTGTGCAGGCCGTCGGCAATCACTACTGCACCATCGAGATGCGCAATGGAGACACCGTGTCGGGCAAATTATCTCATGTCGATGGGTAAAGATCAATTTGTTCATTAAATTTTATAATCAGTTAGTTATAAAATAGTGCATAGATTTAAAATTAAAATTTTTAGCTTACTTTCATGCATAAATATAGTTTTGTTTATTTTTAACAAATCCTGTTATGTATATTTAATTTTTATGTATATAAAACCTAAAAAATATTAATTAACCCAAAGAATTTAATACTAGTAAAGAAATCTAGTATGTAGATTGATCATGCATTGAATATTTCGCCTCTATTTTATAAAAATACAATTTACATACTATTCACATTACCTCACTGAATGTTGAAAAAACTAAAAGTCAAGGGATGTTAAGATAAAAGAATAAAAAAAGAACGTGCTTTTAAACATGAGACTCTGTTTTATGGTTTAAATATGAGTTTTTATTAATATTTTGCAGATTTATGAACGTTGCAATGGACAATGCTGTGTTTATAACATCAGACGATAGACAGCACCACTTTGAATTCTTTTTTGTGCAGGCGAGGAACATCAGATTCATCACCATTCCTCAAAAGGTATAAAAATTGCATTTAATTTAAATCATCAGAAATTGCCCATTATTGCACAGATTGATATTTCGTTATTTTATTTTTTTTACATTTTTTATTGTATTGAGTGTTCATGAGGGAGCAGAGAGCCAATATTGAAAGAAAAAACACAGCATTTTTAAAATTTTGCCTGAATATTAAATTTAAAAATATTAACTACTACTTTAATTCCCATCACATTACTTAATGCACAATTGCAAAAAAAAACTTTCAAAAAAATATATGTACATAAATATGACTAAAATTCCAAACTTCCAACCATTATTTTCTCCTATTAAAAGTAATATCTCTTGAATTAAATTATTTTAAAAATATAATTAATCACTTGCAAAAAAAATGCAGTCAAAACATATGAAACATATTAACTTTCCAGCGTTGTGTTTGTTTTGCTAAGCTTCTATCTCAATATTGGCTTGCCTGCTGTTTTCGCGCTGCGCGGCCCCGTTTTTTAGCCGCGTCGCGCACCACAATTGAGCACCGGAGAACGGTCGTTGCCAACCGAGATATCTCCGACTCGTTCTTTCTCAAGGCTACAAAAATAACCCACGCAACAAAATCCTCAACCAGAGAAACGACCTTCTCTCAATTAATTACACACTTGAGATAAAAAGAAAAATTGAAACCACCGGATAATGGCAATTTATTCGTTTTCGGAATTTCGCGAAAGGGTTGGCACGAGTGCACACGTGCCAATAATTTTCTTTCTCAACCTGCACCAACCGCGAGCGAATGGTGTAAGGCCGAAGGAAAATCATGTCGCAAGCGGCGAAAATAGACTGAGCCGCCGAGCTGCTGATTAGACGGAATGCGAGCGCTGCTTTTCTCCAGTCGCTGCAACCTTTTGTTTTTCGCTTCGATTCGCGACTCGCCAGTCTTTTTGCACCGCCCCGCGCGTCACTCCTTCGTCACCACCTCGCAACCAGCGATGGAAATCAGCGGGTCCGCCGGCGGGCCCGGCAGGCCCATTCCGTCCCACTTCAACCTCGCGGACTACAACTGTGTCGGCTTTGACCTGGACAACACAATTTGCAGGTAAATCAAAAATCCACATCTGTCAAAGTTGGATTTTTTGCAAACTTTAATGCTGCAAAAGCTTGCAAAAAAACCAGTGTTGCCAATTTGACAACAAAAGCTACTCATTCATTACTTATGTTAATATTTTTTCTTACAATTAGTTTTATATTTTTATTGCAATTTATTTAATAATCAAACATCATTAAAGATGAAAATTTAAAGAGATCGCAAAATGGTACCCATTAAAAACTACAATTTTTACATAAATAACGGTGAAGTGAATTATCCTGTAAGAAATATATTTAATATAAGAGCAAGAATTGATGATAATTGAGCCCTTTGAAAGTTAATAAATTTGATATTTTGCAAACTTCAAACGTTTAAAGAAAAAAATATGTATTTTTCGGCCAATTTAAATTCGGAAATATATATTTTTAAGTGTTAAAATAATAACAAAATTATCTCATTTTCTATGGCAGTAGAAATTTTTTTAAATAAAATGATTATGATGACAAAATCCACAGCAATTTTCTAAACGGGACGACTGAAAACAAAGATATGCAATTCATAGAAACATTATTAAAGTATCAAGTGATTTCGGTAATTTATTTTCTCCCCCACTAATAAAAAAAAAATAAATAAACTTAAAAATATTTAAAAATAAGTATTATTTTGTTACTCCATTTTTGATTAAAATAAATGAATTACATAAATTAATAAATGTTTAACTTTCTAGATACCAACTGACAAACATGGTTCAGCTGGAATATGACGCTCTCTGCAAATTCCTCGTTGACCAAAAGGGGTACAGCTCAAAAGTTCTGCAAATCCCCATCGACTTTGAATTTCTCCAGAAAGGTCTCACCCTGGACTTTGAAAAGGGAAACACCCTGAGAATCTCTGGTAACGGAACCATTTGGCGCGCGGCCCATGGCACCAAATTCCTCACCGACGAGGAAATCGAAACCCAGTACGGAGTCGAACGCACCTGGGAACCTGCCACCGCTCTCTACAATGAGCCTCTCGCCACCTGGAATGGACCTGTGGCTCTCAAGTTGCGAAGTTTGCTTGACTATTTTGACATGCCCGCTGCATTGGCGTTTGCCCGACTTGTGGACGACTACGATGAGAAAAATGGGGGACCAAAGAAGATTCCAAAGTAATTTTGTTGTTTAAATTTTTTCGCTACCAGATTTTGTCTTTAAAATTATTGAAAGATGATCACATAAAATATTAATCTGTAAAATATTAATTACTTTTTCAGAAATGCTTAAAGAATAACATTTTTCCCTTAATTTTTACATATTTACAATGAGGCCAAATTCAAAATCTATTTTGTCATTTCAATGATCTGTATAATTTTCTATTTATAGAGTTTTATATAAATTTTGTATAACAATTTTGGTGCATTTTGAATTTTTATGCAATAATAATGAACAATTTAAATATTTTTCAAATCAATTCTAATTTGATTTCAAATTTCAGAGTCCCTGGCAGTATTTGGTCGGACATTCTCGACGGGCTAAGCTACATGTTCAGCCGACACAACTTCGCAGCGAAGGATGGCGGCCACTATTTTGGAAACCTCCGAAGCTACCCTGAGAAGTACCTGAACAGGTGCCCACCCGAGGCCATTGAGTGGCTCAAGAGTCTGAAGAAGCAAAACAAGAAGCTTTTCATGCTGACTGGCTCGCACATTGACTTTGCAAACTACACTTCGACCTACTGCCTCGGACCGGACTGGCGGGAATTGTTCGACATTGTCGTCTCCTTTGCCAAGAAACCAGGTTTCTTCTCCAGCAACAGACCCTTCCTTTCCCTGAAAAACTACCAGGAAGGAGATCCCATTGACGATCTGACTAAACTGGCTGACAAAAATTTTGTTTCGGTTAGTCAAGGAAACTGGCAGGAATTAATGGAGGTATAAAAAAATTACAAAATTTGGGAAGAAAAAAATTGTATAGAGACGGGGAAATTTCTGAATTGTTTTTTTTTTTTTTTTTTTTTTTTTTTTTTTAGGGTCAGGCCAAGACAAAGTCTTGTTGGCCTGTGCCCTTTTTAGTGGCGCAGAAGGCGCCACTCAATTTTGTCTTGTTTTTTATTATTTTATTTTGGGTGTGTCTTTATTAAAATCAAGCATCATTTATTTTCAATAATCATAATATTTTCAATAATAAATTGCAGCTCATTATAAGGGATTTTTTTTTTAATTTGGGAGATTTCAAATTTGATTTTTGATACTTTTTCAGTTCCTACAAATAAAACTGAAAGGAGACACTCCAAAGTGCCTCTACGTTGGAGACAACGTAGTCCAGGACCTGTACGCACCATTCCATTTCACCCGATGCGACACTCTGGCAGTGATCGAAGAGTTGTGGGGAGAAAACAATCTGGAGCCTCCGCACCCCGACTTAAAAGTCCTCCTGGCCAAAGACTGGGGCTCCTATTTTGGCACAAGGAAAACGCCGTCGCTGTGGCACAATTTCATTACGAAAAGCGCTTTGCTGACTGTGCCCAACTTTGAATCTTTTGCCAAACTGCCGCTCGACAAGCCCATTCCGACAGGATTTTATCCTGAGGAGCCTGTTAGCTTTGTAGAAAAATGAAAGAGGAATTCCGTATTTTTTAAAGAACATTGTTGACTTTTAGAGGTTCAAAAGTGAATTTAAGAGCAATACTTAATATAAACATGATGATTGTTTTTATCATTTTAATGATAAGCGGCTGTGTGATGGAAGAAGTCAAGAGTTTTTTTGAATTTGCAGGCAAATTTTGTGCACTATTGTGTAAAATTTAAGTTTTTTCTTGAGAACACAGGTTTGTTCCAAATTTCAATTTTACTCCATTATAAAGATGACTGGTTCATGACACAATTATTTACATGACGATGCGGGTGTTATTCGAAAGCTGATGAATTAATTGATTTAAATTTAAAAATTGTTATTCTTAGCCAAATTTTTTTTGCTTAATCCAACAAGTATTTAAATCCTGTAAGTTAATTGCTATGGTCTTATCAAGATTTTTATTGGAAAACTTGAGCCTTTTTTATGCTTTGCAACTTTAATGCAAAATTAATCTTTGCATAATTTTTATAGGAGTTTTTATTATTTATTTCCTGTTTGCTTGCGTGTCTGTTATAATAATAAAAAATATTCCATTAAGGACTAATAATGTTTTTCTTTTAACTTAAAACAATACCGTATGTTTGTATTTCATTTTTTGTTATTAAATTTTTTTGTATTATTTTTCTTGCAGATGGACATAACAGCAGCAATCATGCGACAGCTTGAGAAGAACAGGAGGCAATTTAAACCACGCCAAAGTATGGTTTTTGGAGGCCAAAAGAAGAAAACAAAAAATAAACAGAGCAAGAAGTAGAGGTAGGAAGAATATCTTTCTTTTCTCAAAATTATTTAAAATTTTGAAATGCAAATACTTTCTATTAATACAAAACATAAGTAACATTTAGACCAACATTGTAAAAAATAAAACTTGTCTAGATAATATGCAGCAAAAATCTGAGATTGAGATTATTAATTATTTAAAAAAAAGAGCTCAGATTTTTAGAATAGTTTTTTGTGCGAAAACGTCAGAGCAAGTCTGCTGCTCCTCTAGCGGAGGCTCGCTGAACCAAATTGGCAAATCCTTGACCATGAAATTTACTTGAAAAGAATTACCGCGTACGGAATTAAGAATAAACCAGGGATAGTCTGTGTGCACGTGACAAACATTTAACTGGAGTGAGTGGCCCAAAATGAAGAAGGAGAAGAAGGTCAAAAAACGATGGGTGAGTCTCGCTTTCATTCAACATTTTATGTAAAACCGCAGACACGGCCTTATTCATTAACTGACGCATTAGTTTTGTTCCCGATCTTTAAATTGTTAACAGAAAATACACAATTTTATGTTTCCAAATGTTATTTAAAAAACTCAATGCCATTCTGCGGGAGCAGTTCGAAGATACTTTTACAAAATTGTGAAAACAACTCTATCAAAACAAACACACGCTGCGATAAGATTATACGCATGTGTCGTATAAACGCGGCCTAAATTGCCGCTTTGTATTGTCAGTCTGAATGAAAAGACGCAAAAAATATTCCCCGAATTAAGTAAGGGTTGCATGTGGGCCACTTAGGTTTGTTTCGCGGCGGACTCCACCCGTTACTGTTTGTCTTGCATTGTACTAGAGTATTCTAGTGCACTCTGACAACAGGCCATGCTTAGAGGGAGAGGCACAATGGGGTGCACGCAGGGTGTGGCATGCTATCGATCCGAGGGATGCACTAGAACTTTCACTCGCATGCACTCGCGTTTGCAATCATCGGAACGACACAAAATAAAAATGAAACATTTAAAAAGAGACTTAAAATAACGTTTCAAAAGGTTATATATAAAGATTATTTTATTATAATGCTGTACTTATTATTATTATTTTAATATAAATAATATTTTAACTTTATTAAACGCAAAATATTTGTAATATTTTTTTTAATTGCATTAATAAGTTTTTCATATATTATTAAAATTAACATATTTGCCCTGCAATTTATAATTAAAAACTGCAAATATATGCTTACACTTTCCCACTTTTCTTAAAAGTTCTTTGTTTTATTCGTTTAGCACTTGTTCCCTCTTATTTCTTTTTAATAACAATCATTATTTTAAATATAAACGTGAATGTTTCCAAAACTCATTACAATTTTCTCAACGATTTAATTTTAATCTAATGAATCATTTCAACACTTTTTACTATATTTTATTTGTTAAAGGAGCGACTTTAGCAAAAACGGCCTGATCAATATTGATGATTTTTCTCTACATTATCATTGGTTTTTATATGTCAGTTCCAAAAAGACGTAGTAAGAAAAATTAAATTTATAGGGAGAACTGAATTTTTGAAATCTAAACATTGTTTCTTAACATGGGAATTTTCTAAAATAACTTTTTTTCCCAAAAATGGCCCAATCACAATTTAAAAAATTCAGAAAATCACGTTCAAATCACCCAAATGAAGATGGGAAAATAAAATCATTAGGTCAGTAGACATTAAAAATTTACATTGATTTTAAGGTTGAGAAGTTTTATTTACTGCTGTAGATATCGCAAGCTCCTTGTTAAAATGGGCTTGAATAAAAAAAAATCAATTATGTTGTTCAATTCTGCAACAAATTGACATAAATCAACTCAATATATTTTGTACCAGATTTATTATTATTACTCTACAATAACGGATAAATCTTAAAAAAAAAAAAATCCACTGTACACATATTTACATGTTTATGCAATTCTTAAATAATTAAATTTTATAAGGTAAAAAATTCGTTTACAATTTCATCAAACCCTGTTCATTTGCATTGCTCTACATTAAATTAAAATATCAGGTTGATAATTATAATAAAAAAAAAGAAAAAGCGTTTTCAGAGGTTGAATTGCAATACAGCACTCGAACCACAATTGATTATTAAAGAAAATAGTTTTCTCGATTTTAAGGCGTAGTTTATTAAGCTCGTGTAGTTCTAAGAAAATTTAAATACTTAATTGCTTAATTAATTCATAAATTACATAAATCTCTGTAACAATCAAAATGTCTGAACACTCTACAAGCTAAGGAGTTAAGCAATGCATAATCGGTCTCAGCCGTGTAAAACGCATCTGTGACCAAGACACACATAAAACACACGCTCTCAGTTTTCGAAGCAATCATCTCGGCAGCTGTTATTACTGCTTCTGAAAGTGATCTCTCGACTCACTACTGACCTAACGCTTGAGGTATCATAATACCTCCGATGGAATGCTTGTTTTTGGGTGTAAAATTGGGTAATTATCGCGCGCCGACCAAGAGAGATCTTTCTTTGAGATCGACAGTAGAACATCTCAAACGAGAAAGAAAGAAAGAGAAATTGAAAATCGTAAACTTATTTCTGACCCCAATCTCGCATTTTATATTTATTCATCGCTGGAATTTACGAGAAATTACAAGATGCAACACGGCACGACTTTTTATGACCGTAACACATTTTCAAAAAACTAAATCACTCGAAGGTGTTTTAATGAAAACACTCTTATTACTTTGGAGGCGAATGTATTAATGTGAACATGATCTTCCGATGTCCGTCGTAAATATAATTCTGTGAATTATTCCAACATTTTTATTGAACCTCCATACTTTCTCAAATTAAAAACAAAACTATCGATTTTCACCACACAAAATTTTAATTTACCCCATTAAATAATAAAAACTTTGTCTCTTTCATATAATAATTCTGAGAACGGTGTTAAAATTAAATTATTCCATCAAGGGCACTGTATTATTAATTATTCAACTTGCCGTTTATTTTTTCTAGTTCATTAACTTTTCCGCCAAGTTAATTTCACCATAAAAGGTCTGAAGTTTCTTTCTTTGCGGGCAAATTCAGACAATTTATATTTCAGTAGACCTTGTCTCATCTCGGTTCACATGAGGTAAATCTTGCTGCTGCAAGGTCAGTGACCCTTTGTGCGAAGAGAGGCGCCCGTGCTCTTGAAAGATGTTGCCAGGCAACCCTTTGGCTCTGCGGAGAGTGGCAGACCAGAAAGATTTCTTTGCTCTTTTTAGTGCAGAAATAATTCGCATCGCTCTTTTGAGACTGCCCGAGTGTTTGATTAGCAGAAAAATTTTATGGAGTCGACTTGTTATAAAAGAGAGAAAAGCGGCGGCGGCGGCGGCGGTACAGCTTTTATCATTCCAGACCACCTATATTTACTTTTGCTTTTCAGACCTGCTTGGAATTATACATATTTATTTATTTAATATATTACTTTTTCCAAACAGCAGGCCCTCCTTTTAATTTTGGCCTTCGTCTCTTCTTGCTGCCGATTATTTTTTTTAGCTGCAAGTACTTGTGGGAACCTGAACGATATTCGCGGCGTAGTGAGAATTTGCGGTTGGAATTTGGCTGCCGACGAATAATTGATTGCGACATGTTTTGATTTAATTACGGAGGGCGCTTAATGGTGGGCTATAATTTGATACGTCTTAGGGGACATTTTGTGTTTAATTTTAACTCACTGATGTGTTTGTCGATTCTTTTTAACTCAATTTTCATTGTTACTGTACATTTAACTTATTCGCAGTTCTATATAACATTGATGATAAAAATTTTTTCTGATCATATTTTCAATTAATTTCAATTTTTTTGTATCAACTAGAGTAGAATAAATAGTAATAAGCAGTATTTTGTTTAGTATCAAAAATCATGAATGATTAACCAAATGTTTTCTGATTCTATAATTTGCTTCATATATTTGATTATAAAATTATAAATTTATATTGCATCCTTTATGAAAGAATTTTGAATTCTACATCTAAAGACCTGTTGCCAAACTCAGCCGAACTCTTAAAATACATCCTAAATTTCATACAACTTATTACAATATTTTCAATCCCTCGATTTCAATTAATTTGGGTATGAAACCTTGGTTATAATTGTACGTGATTGTACGTAACATTTTATTTTCAGGGAGTCTTTGAACTTTAAACCTGTTTTGAGGCTAAAAATGTATTTTATAGCTAATAGAAACAATGAATACTTTTCGCAAAAGGAGATTTTGCTGAATGTCAATCACATCAACATTCCTGGGCATCTCTCTTTATTTCTTTAATTCAGTCACGCTCCACTGATGTATTTTCACAATCAGCAATACTTGACAAACAACTGCGGCAATGATCTTTAATTTATATAAACGCGTTTTCTTTTGCAAACAATCAATTGAAGGAGAGGTTTTCCTGTTAGTACATACAAATGTATAAAGCCGATTGTCACACGGAAATTTGAAATTCTGCTCACAAGTCTCCAGCAAGAAGTTTCCATTCTATGATGCGCCCATGAAGAGAGTACTTCTTTTTAATAGCATACACTTTTATTTCATTTCCCTGTCAGATGCGCGCCGCGCAGATTAAAATGGGAAATTGCCTCATGAATAAAATAAGACTCTCATTGTTTCCTGCGCAGCACATGAGGGTATGACCTTTTTGCAATTAGCGGCATGAGAAATGTCCCACGTACACATACAAAATTATAGTACATAACTTTTATGTTTTATGCAAATTGAGAACTACGGGTGAGCTGGTCGAGGATCACAATATTTATCTCGGATGGAAAATGCAGCTTTCTACATACGCCCC